AATTTGAATGGACATACTGTCACTTATACAAGAATTTTGGAATTCAATTAAGAATTAAAAGTATTAATAACTAATATGACAAATGCTCCTGCTTAAACCTAAAGCAGTATGGAAGCATTGAAGCAATCAGATCATATGAAAAATAATTTGAAGAAAATCATTCGATTAGATACAATAATGTAGAAATGGTTAGAACTTTAAGATTGTGTAGTTGGATTAGTTAATTCTGAAAGAGCTTAAAATAAATAAAATAGAGAAACTCCCGGAGTTAAATAATTATTAGAAAGAAAATAAGGGTTATTTAGAATGAAAATGATGGGCAAAAGAGTTAATTTTGCTTGCAGATCAGTGATTTCACCAGACCCATTATTGAGTACTAATGAAGTAGGAGTACCTACAGTATTAGCTCGAAAATTAATTATACCAGAAAATGTAAACTCATTAAATCAATAATATGTGGCTGACTTAATTATGAATGGTCCTGTTTATCCAGGAGCATTGTATTTTTAAGAGGATGGCAAAAAAATTGCACTTGAATATTTGACACCATAATAAAGAATGGCAATAGTAAGAGAGTTAGGAAGTGGAGAAAATAAAGTTGTATGGAGACATTTAAGAACAGGAGATGTCATGTTGTTTAATAGATAACCAAGTCTCCATAAACCAAGTATAATGGGACATATTGTAAGGGTACTACCAAATGAATAAACAATTAGATTTCATTATGCAAATTGTAAGTCATATAATGCAGATTTTGATGGGGATGAGATGAATCTTCATTTTATTTAAAGTATGATTGGAAGAGCTGAAGGTTATAATATCGCATTAAATGATTATTAATATATTTCGTAAACAAATGGTAAGCCATTGAGAGAATTAATGCAAGATATGATTGTAAGTAGTGTTTTTTTAACATTAAGAGATACATTTCTTACTAAATAATAATATATGTAATTAATTTACACTGCAATTTGGAGTTTATTTGAGAAGAACAGCTAAAAAATTGAATTACTTCAGCCTGCAATCCTTAAACCAAAATAACTATGGACAGGTAAGTAATTAATAAGCAATATTATTAAAATTATAGTAGGTTTAAATGGATATGATCCAGATATTGGATTAAATCTTGAGTCAAAATGTAAATTATCTTCCAAAGAATTACCAGGAATGGCATCAGATGACATTTAAGTATTGATAAAAGACAATGAACTATTATTGGGAATAGTGGACAAAAATTAAGTGGGTTCTGGTGCAGATTACGGTATGATGCATGCTTTTCACGAACTATATGGACCTAAGATGACAGGATAATTGTTAACTGGTTTTGCTCGTCTCTTTGCAGCATATTTACAATATCATGGATTTACATGCGGGATGGATGATCTTATAGTGGATGAATTACACGATGAAAAAAGAAGAGTTTTGATAGAAGAGAATTTAAAGAAAGGTGTTAGATAAGCAGCTGAATATTGTGGATATAATTCCTAGATACCAGAATCGATTAATTTATTTAATAGATCAAATTTTGTTTTTGAAAATGGATAATATAATCATCCAAAATACTTATAAGATGTTCATTATTTATAATATGACCATCAAATCTATGAAGCCTTAAGATAAAAAATTTTGATAGAAAAACATCAAGAAGAGGCTTTAGATTAAGAATACAAGAAAGCAATGACTAAGGTGACATCAGAAATAGTTGGTTCAACCTTGGGTGGTTTATAGAAATTGTTCCCATTAAATTTGTTTTCGATGATGACTATGACAGGTGCCAAAGGAAGTAATGTGAACCATTCATAAGTTTCTGCTCTGTTAGGATAATAAGAGTTGGAAGGTAGAAGAGTACCTCTTATGCCAACAGGAAGATCTCTTCCTTCTTTTTTACCTTATGACCCAAATCCAAGAGCAGGAGGTTATGTAGCAGATAGATTTTTGACAGGATTAAGACCATAGGAGTTTTTCTTTCATTGTATGGCTGGTAGAGAAGGTTTAATTGACACAGCTGTAAAAACAAGTAGAAGTGGATATTTACAAAGATGTCTAATAAAACATCTAGAAGGGCTGATTGTTTAATATGATTTGACAGTCAGAGATAATGATGGATCATTAATTTAATTATTCTACGGAGAGGATGGTATTGACACTACGAAAACTAAATATTTAGAAAAGTTTAGCTTCCTGGCTTAAAACAATCAACATTATAAATAACTTTACAGAGTATAGGAGATGAAATAGCATTTTAAAACATTAGATGGAGCCTCTGTAGAATTAGAAAATGATACTTTAATGAATGCTTTTAACCCCTCTTAAAATTTAGGAGCTGTTTCAATGAAAGTCTAATCCACGATGAATGAATATTTGTAAAAATGTTAAAATGAACTACAGCAAAAAAAAATATCAAATAAATAATTTAAATCACTAGCAAATATTAGATATCTTAGGGCATTGATGCATCCTGGTGAAGCAGTTGGATGTGTAGCTGCTCAATCTATAGGAGAGCCATCAACTTAAATGACTTTAAACACTTTTCACTTGGCAGGACATGGTGAAAAAAATGTCACATTGGGTATTCCTAGATTGAGAGAAATTTTAATGACAGCAACTAAAAAATAAAAAACACCAACTATGTCTCTTTAATTTTTAAATGCCAACATTGAGAAATCTTAAGCCGATAGATATGCAAAGAGAATGTCAAAATTAGTTTTTCTAGAATTAGTCAATAATATTAAAGTTAGAGAATATAAAAGGTTAACAGAAAATGGAATTCCACTTCATTCATTATTAAGAGGAGTCATATATGAAATTGATGTTGAATTAGAAGATCTCAACTAGATCAAATATGTATTTGGAATTTCAGAGGATCAAATAAAAAATGTAAATATTTATTTAATTTTTATAGAAAGTTAATCATGTATTTATTCCATTATTGTTAAAAATAATTCAGGCAGAGTTAAATAAGAATTCATCTAGATGTGTTGAGAAGACTAGTTTCCTGAAAACTAAAGAAAATGAGGCGAAAAAGTAAAGAAAGGGATCTGATGATGAGGAGGAGGATGATGAAGATTAATAAGAAGAATAAGATGACTTATCTGAGCTTAATTAAGATGAAGAAGTACTAAATATTATTAACTAAACTTTCGAATAATCAGCATAATAATATGATATATTCGAAGAATCCCATTAATAATAAGAATCATAAAAAAAATAAACTCCTAAGAAAGAATAACAATAAACACCTTAGACAACATAACACAAATATTTAGAAAAGGCTGAAGTCCAAAAATAACTAATTAAAGTAGTTATTAAATTGCCTTTGAACAGTAAAAAAATGTTAATGACAAATGTTGTTAAGAAAACATTGTCAAACACTGTAATTAATGAAATTAAAGGAATTAATAAAGCAAAGATCATAAAAAATGATAAAAGTGGAGGTGCATCATTTATGATATATACTGAAGGAGTCAATCTCAATAAAATTAGAAATTTCGATTTTATAAATTTGAATAATATTGATTGCAATGATATTGTTGCAATTATGAATGCTTTTGGTATTGAAGCTGCTAGAAATGCCATAATTAAAGAAATTTTAGCGGTCTTTGGAGCATATGGTGTTGCTGTTGATTATAGACACTTATATTTAATCGCAGATTATATGACTTTTGGAGGGCAAATCAGAGCAATGAATAGAATATATATGGATGTAAATATTAATATCAATATAATAGTTCAATACTGCTCCATTTGGTAAAATGACCTTTGAAACATCAACCTAATTCTTAACTAATGCTTGTTTGAATAGAGAGACTGATACTTTTAACAACTTAAGTTCACAGTTAGTAATAGGAAGAGTTCCAAAAGTAGGATCAAATTTATGTGATGTCTTATATTAATTTGAAACAGAGGAATGAAAATGTTTTTATGTTGAAAAATATAGATGTAGATTATTTTAGTATTCAAAATCAGATTTAATCTTAATCTTGTTCCTATTTGTTTTCTGTTACTCTATACAATCTGAAAATACAATAGATCAATATATCAATTCCTAAAATATCGACTAAATTTATCACGATTGATAAATAATTAAAATTTGCAAGTATCATCTTAAAATATTATTTTAAATTACATAAACTATTTAACTTCCTAGAGAAAGTGCAACATAGATTGCAGTTACTCCATAAATTATTCTATCTGAGTAGTTCTAGACTATTCTTCTAACAATTTTATCAATAAGTCTGTTAGAGATAAAAAATACAGGAATAAAAACAAAAACATAAAACGTCATTAAATCAACATAAATAAGTTAAAATGTTAATCTTGCCCAACATTATATATAAATAATTGGTAGTTTGTGAGTTAATTATAAAGAACCTTTAATGATTGGAAAGTAGAGCTAAATATAACATCTACAATTACAAGAAAAGGCTTCATCTTTTTATTATCTGTTTATTAGTTTGTTTGTGATTAGGGTATCAATTTTGATCCATGATCAGATTGGTTAGTATTTATATTTTTTCTTGCAGTTTCAGGGGCAATTAAATTTGTCACAAATTAACTATGCTTTCTTATTGTATTTCTGTGTTTGCTTGACTCAGGAGTAGTTTACAGATTGCTATTCGTCGAAATGATGGTTAAGATAGTATGATTTTTTATTGATTTTCTTAAGTTTGTATGCTTGTTTGATTCATTTTATGTATTGGTTGTTTGAGACAATTTCAAAGTTGTTGCTCTTGATTTTCTTCTTACTTATTTTTGTTCATCAACATTCGCATCTGGATCTAAAGAGTGATGATGATGAAAAAATGATGCTGCTGGTGAAAATAATTAAGGTTTCGTTTATGATCTCCTTTATTTTCTTACCTCTAGATAATAACAATAAATTACTTAAGTATTTTATAAACTATTATTTTATACATTCAAACTAACTGAGAATCAAAAGAATAATAAATACAGCATCTATTGAAAGTAAATAGTATAATTAGGAAAAATTCATTATTTCTAATATTATTATTTATTTATTTAATAACATTTTTGTTTAATATATAAAAATCTCTATAGTTTATAAAGATGCTCAATAATCATACTTTTCAATAATTAAAATTATGTTTAAGTCTCAATTTCTTAATAACTTTACAATTCTCAGGTTGGCATAAAGAATCATTATAAATGCTAATGAACCATCCTTAGGTTTATAAACTGTTCTGATAATTGATAATCAAACTGGAAATATCTTTGAACAGCAAGAAGCTCCCTAGATAGAAGGGGAAGTTTGTTTGGAAGAGATACAAGCATCATCAATTTTAGGTATATATTAAGGACAGCTTTAAAAATATTTAATTGTGTGTAAGAAGTGCGAATTAGTGGCTTAAGTATTAAAATAGAAATACTATAGAATTCAATCTGTAGGCTTTATTGGATTTCAATTTTGTTTAGATAAAAAAATGTATTAGGATGAGTATGGGCAAATGTAATCTATAAAAGAAGTATACTCTTTTTTTAAATCTATAGTACTTGTCGAATCATTTTTACTTTAGTTACAATGGTAATCCAGCTCAGCCGTTATAGAGCTACTACACAAATAATTATAGGGATTTTTCAGAATTTTTATGGAATAATCATCTTACAAATAAATTTTAGGATTACGACATTCAGCCACAATGGTATTGTAAAATGATTTAAGGCTATGTTGGATAATTTCAGAGTAAACTAGGGAATGAATAGATTAAATATATTCTGATTAGTAGAAAATGCAGATATTAATCAGGTACTAGATTTCATCATAGAGGAATTAATGATGATGGCTATGTAGCCAATTATGTAGCAACAGAATTTATTGTTATGGTTAAAGGGTTTTGCATAAGTCATGTTATTTATAGAGGTAGCGTTCCTACATTTTGGAAGCAAAAAGGAATCACAGGATAAGTGAAAATTACAAGGAATGAATAACTATGTGTTCATGCTTATCTTAAACATTTTAATGATTTGCAAGAATGTTATAAAAACATAAGTTGTATTAATTTGATGGGGGAAAATACATCTGAAAGCACCCTAAATGAGGCTTTTAAAAGCATAGTAGAAAAAAATTAAATAGATGGAGTTATTTTAGTTCGTATTGATTTTCATAAGATTTGCAAAAATGAGAAATTTAAATAAATTGATAATTACATTCGAGGATCAGATGACAAAAGTATTGAATTTGATTGCTTTGCACTAAATACAGTGAATTAATAAATAATGTCTTTGCAATAAGGATCATATAGAGTCAATTGTTTAGATTGTTTGGATAGAACTAATGCTTATTAAAGTCGTTTGTGTTTAAGGATTACCGACTTACTTCTTGTAAAATATTAAGTAAATCATGATTTAGATTTACTCTATATGATTGAAGATACTAAAGCCTGTGAGTTCTTGAATTAATATAGAGTAATTTGGGCTGAGAATGGAGATGCTATCAGTTAATTATATTGTGGAACAAATGCAACCACCAGTGAATTTACAAAAAAAGGAAAAACAACATTCAAAGGATTCTTTACTCACAATTTGGCATCAATTGGAAGATTATTTAATTAGACATTTATTGATTCAACTAAAAATTAAATAATTGAATCCTATTTGCATGGAATCCAAAATTAAAGATCTTCTCTTTAAATTTATCTGCAAAGTTAAGTTAAATCTTATTGTAAATTTCAGAAATTTAAGTTATTTGCTTTAACTTGGAATGTAAATGGCAATTTAATTCTAAATTTGTAAAAAGACGTGTTAGAATTTCACTAAGATTATATCCCAGACTTTATTGTTATTTCTTTATAAGAAATATAGTAATATAAAGCTCACAAGATAATTGGATAAAACCAAGATATTGTAAATGAATGGATTAAAAGCATTGAATCATCTATAAATATGAATGGAAAGTAGTTCTGTTTGGTCTAATAAGAAAATTTAGTGGGAATGTTAATATTAATCTATTCTAAAGTTTCTCTTGTCTAACTCATCAATAAAATATCAACTGATAGAATTAAAACAGGTCTTGAAGGTCATAGTGGAAACAAAGGAGCATGTTTAATTAGATTTTAGATTAAAGATTCTTAAATTGCTGTTTGCAATTGCCATTTAGCTTCTGGATATAGTAAAAATAAACGAAGAATGGAAAGTCTTGAAGAAATCCATGAAAAAGCTTTTAAAAATTAAATGAAACCACTAGATTCATCAGATTATACTTTATTAATGGGAGATATGAATTTTAGATTAAATTCAAATTAAGCTACAACTCTGGATCTAATTGAATAACAAAAGTAATTCTACTAGTAAGGCAATTTAAGGTAAGCTGAATAATGTATCATTAAACTTTAATAATAAGATTAAGCATATGAGGCAAAAGCAAAATATCCTCTGCAAGAATACTAAGAAGCCTGCATTACTTTCTTACCTACATATAAATTAAATGCTAATCATACATATTAGACAAAGAAATAAGAATAAATTCCATCTTACTGTGATCGAATTTTTATTAAGACAAATGAATAAGCCCTAATCAAATAATTATTTTACAAAAGTATTGAGAGATTTGACAGTGATCATTTACCAGTCACTGCAATGTTTATTATTGATGTTAAAACAATAGATAAAGAAAAAGAAGCTAATTTAATAAAGGAATTTACTTAAAAAAGTAATCAATTAGAAGAGGAAGAAAATACTATAGAAGAATAGCAAAAATAAGAAAAATCAGCAACATAAAAGTCAGAAAATAAAAAAGGAATATTTTAATAATTTAAAGATAAATTTCTTAAGTGATTTGATTGAAAATAATATTATAATACAATTCAATAATTTCTATTTTCTTTACTTATTCAGATTGATAAAACTCAAAAAAGAAATTAGATTTTTGGTTTCTTAAAATTCAATAAATTGATTATAGAATTTGAATTAGTATTTCTTATGATAATGGTTTGTATTTTTTAATTTGACAATTTCTAATAATAATAAGTCTTGAAGGAGCTCGTAAGAGTAAATGTTTAAACTCTCTATTAGGCTAAACAGCATAATGGTTTTGAATTAAAATTATTACTATGACTTTCGCTAATTAATTTTATTATCAAAATCACCAAAAATATTTTTAAGATTCTTTCTGCTTGTAATAGCTGCTACTCAATTATTCAAAGATGCAGAAATGATTTGATTTCTTAAAAAAGTTTTCAAAAGTCAAAAATTCTGCATCTTTTAAAGGATATTCAATTTCTTTATAATTTGAAGAAAAATGTTTGCATACAATATAATCTATAAATTTTGTCTTAATTCAACAACAGAAGAGAGAATATTAATTCAGGTTTTTATTATTAATTGGAAAAGACATCTTAAAATAAAAGGAATATAAGAAAGTCTGAATTTGAAATATTATCAATATATCAAAATTTGGATATAAATAATAATGGAATAGACCTCTAGAGATGCCTGATTTCTATTATAGTTTTATATCTGAAAAATTTAATAAATATATTAGTAAATAAAATAGTATTAGATGAACCCAGTAAGAGTGTTTCCTATAAAATTTAATGAGTCACAATAATAATCAAACAATCAATAATCAAGTGCAAGTTCTCCAATGCTAAAGAAAAAATAAGGATAATAACAGCCATCAGAAAGATCAAATGTAATAAATATGTCTCCCGTGATGTAAATAATATAGGATTAATTTAGAAATGGGCAATAACAAAATAAGAGTAAAATGCAACTGAAGAGATATTAAACTATAAGCAATGGAATATAAGATGATAAAGTGAAAATAGTAATTTCAAATCAATTAATGTTAGATCCAACAATAAAGATTATCTTAAGGACAGCCTATTAGTTATTCTCCAAAGAAAAGAGTGATAAGTTCAAATTATTAAGAAGTATTTTCAATAAATATTTAGGTACCATCTCCTACAAAATTACCAAATTTAAAAAAAGCAGAGAATACATCAAGTTAGGATATTTTATAAAAAATCGATTTAGGATTAGCCCAAAAAAGAAGTAAAAGAACAGATGCCAGCAATGAAGTAACTCCATCGGTATATTTTGAATTGAATATATTTTTAGAGCAGAGCATAAATAATCAAATTACTTTAAGATACTTCACCTAAACAGAAAGTTAATAACTCAAGAGCAAAAGTGGAATCTCAAACGATTGAGTAGGACACAAGCATAAAACCAAGGATGCCTTAATAAATGGTTATGTTACATGGAAGATCAACGAGTTAGGCAACATTAGTAAATAATCAAACTAATGAATAAGAAATGCAAGATTATGTTTAATTGTTCTTTTCAAAGTATCAATATTATAAAATAAGGTCTCAAGCTGGGTAAAATGGAAATGGCTAAACAAAAACCAATTAAGATAGTGTTATAATTACAAATAATTTAGGGGGAATCAAAAACAGGTATATTTTCTCAGTTTGTGATGGGCATGGTGTCTATGGTCATTATGTTTCTTAATTAGTCAAAAGAGTGCTTCCAACCATAATTGATCAATAGATTAAAACCTTTATAGGGAAATAAGAATAAGATATAAGTGAAGTCTACGAATAAGAAATTCGTAAGGTTTTGAATTCAAGTTTTAGTAAAATGACAAAGGATTTGTAGAACTCTGGAATTGATATTACATTTAGCGGAACAACTTGTTCATTGGTCTTCCTTTCCGGACCTCATTTGTGGTGTGCAAATATTGGCGATTCAAGATCTGTAATTCATTATTCTAAAATTAGATCTTTATTGAATAACAAAATTTCAATAAATGGCATCTAGTAGAACTATCCAATGATCATAAACCTGATTTACCTTCTGAGTTTAAGAGAATTATTTCAAATAGAGGAAGAGTTGAACCTTATATGACAGAAACAGGAGAGAAAATAGGACCAGCAAGAGTTTGGTTATAACACGAACAAATTCCAGGTTTAGCTATGAGTAGATCATTTGGGGATCATGTTGCTTCAACGGTAGGAGTGAGTTCAGAACCTGAGATTATTCATCACAAAATGGATGCCAATTGTGCATTTCTAGTAGTAGCGAGTGATGGAGTGTGGGAGTTCTTTTCAAATGAAGAGATCTAAAAAATCGTAATTTCTTATTGGAGTCCAAACATGACAGCTAAAAAGATAGATGAGATTTGTGATATCATTGTTAGAGAATCAACTAAAAGATGGTAAGAAGAAGATGAAGTTATCGATGACATATCTATTGTTATTGCTTATCTCCATAGATAATGAAATTATCTATTCATGTAATGCACATCAATTTTTTCTTTATTTTAAATTATTTAATATTTAACCCTTTATCATTCCAATTCTATTGTCTTTTATTATCTTTTGGCTGCCAGTTCTGCTTTTTTAGATTACAACCTTCTTAATTCTTCCATTACATCTTTTTTATTTTACCCTGTATTTGTTTCTTAATTTTATTATTACTATTATTTAATTTATTATTAATTTTTTAAATTTTCATTTTATTATTACAAAGCATCAAGATTACAAGATTAAGACATCTTTTTTCTTTAATCTCTTTGTTATTTCTATTCTTGTGATTTTATTCTTGCAATCTGGGTTAAAGCCTACAATTATTCATAAATAAAATACATTTTAATAATCCTTCCAGATTTTATCAATCTTAATAAAAAATTCATCTGATTGTATTTTAGGATCCTCGCAAAAGTATTGTAATAATCCTTTATATTTGCTATCTAATATTGCATTTTTTTCTTCCAATTTCTTAATTCTTTCCTGCAACTGTTCTTATAAAAGTTTAAATCTAATTTATATTAATATATCTTACTTGACTTATGCCTAATCACTTGAGTCTTCTCCATGACTCTTTTTAGCTCTCTCTACAACTCTCTCCATTCTTTTCAATTCATTTATATCCTACGAAAGTGAAGATATTGATGTTTTGCAGAGAAAATCATAATCAATTTTAGCAAGAAATTCTTAATCGTATAAAGAGTAGCCTAAATCAGCTTCGATGTGTAGGATTATAACAATCAATAAATTAGTTTTATTATCGTTTGATTTTACATCGTCTAATTAACTCATTATATCAAGCTTAAATGCATATGCTCCTCCCCTTGTTGATTGTCCATTTAAATAATTCCCATATCCTAAAGAGTATTCCAACATTATTTATAATTTTTTATCTTCTTATTATAGTTTGATTCCATTTTCTATCTTATTTTATTTTGCATCAACACTTTCATAAAGTCCCGTCCATTCATAACTTATCACAATGGCTTCTGCTCTTAATTTGATCTATGGCACAGTACTCAAATCCATAAAATATAAGTCAGGTGTTGCAATAGTTGAAAGGTCTGGAGGGTTGAAGTGTAAAAATACTTCTTATTCCTCCTTTTCTGGAACAGCATTTATAATCATCGCTATTTTTTCCTCAGTTAATATACTTGTATCTATTTTTAAAAAAGCTTCCCTTAATGTCAAAGAACTTATTTTTAATCTCGAAATAACTAATTCAACATTCTTGCAACGTTCTGCCTGTAATTGAGAAACCTTTTATTTTATCTATTACTTTTAAGAAGGTAGTGCATTTCCAGTTGCTTTAACTAATTCAACTTTGCAAAATTACTCCTCCAAAATAGAAGTATTTATTTTTATTTTTGAATCGTCAATCTTCTCCCAAATTGTAGTTTTAATCTTATCTTCTTTTATTACAACCCAAGGAACTTATTTCATTGGTTTTTAGGGATTTTACTTCTTCTTGCCAACTTATTAAGGTATTCCAGGCCCTTTAGCATTAGCACCACCAAATGTAGGCGGGGGAGGAGGAATTCCTTTTTATCCAGGAGGCGGTGGCGGAGGAGGAGGAGGAGGTGCTCCTGCTTTTTAACCTGGCAAAGGTGGTGGTGGAGGAGGAGGAGGTCCAGTCTTTTAACCTGGCAAGGGTGGTGGTGGAGGAGGTCCTGCCTTTTAACCTGGTAATGGTGGAGGAGGAGGAGGCCCTGTTTTTTGACCTGGCAATGGCGGAGGTGGAGGTGGAGGCGGAGGAGGAGGTGGAGTTTATTTATGTTGACCTGGCAAAGGTGGCGGAGGAGGTGGTGGCGGTGGCGGTGGAGGATGCGATTTTACTGTATTAGATTAACTATTTTATGTCTGTATAGCTTATGTTTAGGTTTACAGTTTGAGCTCGATTTTCTTGATGTATGTGTTTGCATCGATTAATTTTTCCTTTAACTAACTTAACTCTTACTAAATCCTTGCTTTCTCATTAATGTGAGATCTAATTTAATTTTCAAGTTGTGTACATTTTTCTTCACATGCCAATAAATCTAATTTGAGAGGATCATTTTTTCTCAGTTCAATCATTTTATCCACAGCCACAGACATCATTTATGAGATGACGTTAACTCCAATTTTGGCAGCAGATTGTAAATAGTCTTAGAAAGAATCTAAAACTTAGGGAACTAGAGTAGCTTCTCTGATTTATATAAGAAGTTTTTGATAATCTAAATCAGGAATTCTTAGTTTGATTGACCTTTCTTCATCAAGGAATGTTGTAATAGACCCTGCTCTTTTTGTTCTTGCCTTTTTATCAACAATTAATTTTTTGGGTTTCATAACTTTTGCGTATACTTTTTCAGTTAGTTCTAAGAAGGCATCAATTTATGCAAGGGCCTCTGAAGTTGCGTTTTCAAATTTTTTTTAGGCCTCTAGATCTTAGAGATCTATAAATAAATCTGCACAGAGTGCTGCACAAATACTTAATTCTACTGGTTTACCATCAGGAGGGAGTAATTTTCTCTTTCGAGCAGAAGGATTGATTTTGTAATGTTGATATTATTCTAGGAGCATTTCATCCATATATTAATAAGTGCAATGCTCGATTTTATAATATCCACTTTGGATTTTGACTTTGACATCCTCAATCAAAAATCTAAGTCCAAAATTAATTAGGAGTGTTTTTAATTTATTACTATATTCAATATCTTCGTGTGCTTCCATAAAATAATTTATAAATCTAACCATATTCAGGACGGAGAAAACGCTTTTATTTTATTGCAAAGTCTGAATAAATGGTTCAAAGGGATAATTCCACATTCCATTTCTTTTCATTTCCATCCATGATATTGAAATCTAATTCATTTTTTCATCAGTCTGATTTTTACAAATGACTATATAGATTTCCAATAGTAAACTAAAATTAACAGAGTGCAAAGGATTCAAAATTTCAGCAAGTTCATTTAAAATGGGTTAATTTAAATCTAGATTACAATTCTATTGAATGCAATGTAATATAATGTTTAATATTAAACACTTTAGATAATATGTAAATATATTACTTCTTTGTCGTGATATCCTTCACATTCAAGCTTTAATAGATTTCGTAATTGCTCTATCAATTATTTATCTTCAATGAATTTTTCTAAATCTTCTTTGTTAAGAGTTCGCAAATATATTAATAATTCTTAGAGCCCTTCTTCAGAACCAATAATGCATGGGGCTGTTTCTATCGATTTGTTCATCATGAATGATTGAATTAATTACGCTTTGAAATCTAAGAAGTCAGTTATATAAAGTACTTGTAGGAAGATGTTGAAGCTTATTTATTTTATCAATTTTCAAGTTGATAGACGAAAGGACCAAATCCCAATCATCTTGGTTGATATCATTAGCTTAAAATTGAGGATCAAAGACAAGTGTAATAGGCTTAATTAGATATTTAATGGGAATACTTTGGCTTGATTTCTAATTTAATAGGTTAATTTCAATTTATCAGGAGAAGGTGCTGAATATTTTGGGTTTATTTAACCCATGAGTTAATTCTAATTAATAATATTGAATAATGATCATAACAATTTGAATATGAAATAATTAATAAAAATGTATAGGATGAAGAAGGAGAAAAAGTAGACGAACTACTCTTCACATGCTACTCCTCCTTTTTTAATTGTTCTGTCGTTTGTTGATTATATGGCTCTGTTGTTACCATTTCCAGAAGCGAAAGTTGAGTTACTCAAGAAATATGTGTTAAAAGCATCTAATTAAGTCTAGGTGATTGGCAATATGGAATCCAGAATGTACCAGTTCACATTCTCATCACAATCTAATATATTAGGAGATAATTCAACCTGGAATAGTTAAGGATCCAACATAGGTATAATAGGCTGGATTGGCATCTAACTATGACCCCAAGAGATCGTTGAAATTGATTGAAGCTATAGTGGAAGTAACGGATGCTGCTGTCGTTGTATTTGTTGAATTAGTTGTGTTGGTTGTGGTAGTATTAGTTGAAGCAGATGCCACCAACGCAAAGTCGTATGTTGTGAAGAATGGTTGATCTGTGCTTGAAACTTCGAATAATATTGAAACTATGGCTTTGGTTATGGTGGCACTGAACTCAGACTAAAATTCAATATATATTAATTACTTTTAAATCATGCACAATTTGCATTTCTAGGTCATATCTGGTTCCTTCTATTGTATGCTCGGAAGGACTGTGGAACATAAATGATGTTGCAGTATAGCCTAATGTATTTCAGCAAAATACCATAAAGATTTCCATTGATGTCTGTTGCATATAAATTTGAGACTGCTGCTTTCGATTGAATTGTATATTGGACTCTCTCCATGACTATTTACATAGCATCCTTCTTAAATTAAATGTCTAGAACCATAGAATTGTCACATGTTCCAGATGATACTTCTAAATTAATGGGACTCTGAGAAGTACTACCTAAAATCATAATAATTAATAGTATCACTTGAGCAAACTCCTGAAGTCCAATCAGATCCTTAACTAGCATAACTTATTGTTGTTGCTGTTGTAGTTGTTGTGTTTGTTGTTGTGGTTGTTTAACTTTAAACAATAAATAAAAGTGGAATTATCAAAACAATCATTCAAATTTCAATTATTTAATTAATATAAACTTCATTTTGATTTTTTCTTTTTGTTATCATCCTCATCAAATAGTGAATCATCCTATATTCTTTCATTCCAATATACTGAAATTTATTAACACAGATTGAATTTATTTTATATTTATACAATTCTTAAGATGCAAATTATAAACAAAAAGATTTTAAAATGGTGTTATCATAATATTACATGAAATCAATCTCAAATAAACTTCGTTTATTAAGAAGATTTTACTTATTTGAAAAATTAATAAATCATTTAAAAATCTCCTATTAGTTAAGAAAATCATTAAAATCTTCAGTAACTTATAGAAACAATAGAAAAACCATTAATTCATTTGTTTTATATTATTTACTTTAGTAGAACAATTCTCAGAATGTCATTAATGATTTTTAATATTCTATTGTAATAATAATGGTGATAATTGATATACTACTCTTATTTTTGGGTAATATTTCGAATAGGCTATACTTCTTCAAGAATTGTTCCTTATTCAAAATTTTACATCAAGCTATAAAAATCAAAATGCTAAATTAAAAAACAATATAAATATAAGTTCTTCACCTAATGTAAAATAAAAATAAATTATTCATTATTTAATCAGTGATTTTCCAAGTAAAGGTTGGATCTCAGCTTTTTGATGGTTCTAAGTAAGAATATATAATATTCAAATACTTTCATTCCATAATTAGTTCCAACTCTTAATTAAGGTGCTGTAGATAGTTAGCTTCTTAGTTAATTTGGTTTTGCAGTTTAAGGAACACTAAATTAGAACTTCTCATGATTCTGGATATTCAGAAACCTTCCTTAAGATCTTGATTTTTGGCTGATAGCAGTTTTGGTAAACTAATGATTCCTATATATTATATACATCACTTTAAGTTTTAAATAAAGACTTAAATGTATTGGAATTAAATGAATTTTGTTATGTTCTTTAAAACTTTCTTAATTCTTGTAAAACCGATATTGGCAGATGATCTCCAGGTAAAATTGGATTGGTAATAGTCTTAGATTTTTCTTCAAGGATTGGCAATTGATGGTCTTGAACCGAGGATCCGTTGAATTTAAAATAGGGTTCAGAATTACTATATGACATTTAGTGTGCTGCCAATGCATTTTTAAAGTCTTCTTCGAAATTCCTGATTTTCAGGGTTAGAGGAGGTTTATTTTTTGTGCTTTACTATAATAATAATAAGGGGTATTTACGATTTATAATTCATCTACATTGATATTATATTAAGTTTTAGCTAAATGTATATATTTAGATACATCTTGCTTCAATTTAATGATAGAGTTATTAGTTTTTTCCTTCAACTTAAATAAGCTTTAAGTCTCAGGAACTTGATGTGATCTTACGATAGCATCAATTTCTCTCAATTTTTTAGGAACTTTCAATTGTTATTCCTTCTGCATCATATTAAGGTTATTTTTAAGATTTGGGACTCTTGGAAGCGCTCTGAGAATTGTAAACTAATTGTAAGGGTAGAATTTACAGGAATTTTTGTAGAGGTTAAACCTTTATTCATTTCTCTTAATGAATTCTTGTTCTTAGTCTAGATTTTGGCTCTCTCCAACTTCTTCATGAATGATGTCAACTTCAGGGGTTGATTGATTTCGCTTTTAGACACTGATGGTTTAATTGAGATTGATCATTTCCATGTATTTCTTGAACTTCTCCAATTAGGAAATGGATGTATCCTAATAATAGAAAGATAGTTAAAAACATCAATGGCTTTTTTTAATTCATCTCGACTTGCCAGATAGCTGAGATAGGAGATCATATTGTTGAAAGTGAAGGGCATGTATTTTCCAGCTGGAGATGAACTGTCTAATTTTTATTCTTTCTCCATATTCTCTCTTAGTTCTTTCATGATTTCATAGAAGACTAGGAGGATATGGGAAAGTGCATACCTTGTGCGGCTTGTTCGTTGAAAGCTGAATTTTTGAATTCACTCCAATTTAAAGCATCTTTGATTACATTTATCAATTACTATCTCTGTCTTTGTCAACAATTTTGAAAAACTTTTGCAATTGTTCTTCAGTGATTTTGAAACCATTTTTTTAAAACATCTCATATAACTCGCTCATGTCCAAATTGTCTAAATTAAATTCAACTCTCATACTTGATTTGTTTTGGTCGAAATTTTAGAAGATCTTCTTAACTTCCAACTATTGTTTGATTTCTTCTGGGAAGTACAAATATTTCTTTTTGACTTTGTCATTATATCTGCAGATTACAATGTATAGTTCACCTTTTCTTAAACCAATCATGAACATCTCGAGATTATAAGATGGATCTCTTAATGCCTGATAGTTTCTCTATCGTGAGTCCGTCGAATTCATCTTCTAAATTGTCATTGGCATTTATCATGTTAGATAAAAATAATAATTTATTTTGTTTATTTTATATATATATAACAATTAGCTAATTTAATGTCTCATTTTACACTAAAATTCAACGGAAATAGTTGAAGTGAGTCAGATAATCAATAAATTTAATATAAATTTGACATGATTTAAGAATAAAAATTAAGTGAATGTTGAGATTAGTATTATTTACAATTTAAATTTATGAATTTCAATACTCTTTTATTGGAAAAAGATAATGATCTTCGTAGTTTAGCATTGAGAGAAATGTTAAACTAGGTGGATCAAAACTGGTCAGAGATATCTGAATTACTTAGTTAGATGTAAATCCAATATTTTAAATTTCTTATAGAGAAACATTAAGTGAAGATCCCAAATTTCCCGAAAGACAACTAGCCTCTTATTTATGCGCCAAGATTCAATACCATCTGGACAACTTCGATGAATCTCTTAATTATGCTTTGTAGAGTGGACAATATTGGTAATCAGATTTGAATGATAAGTTTAATCAATGTTTAATAAAACATTGTATTGAGTAATATCGTTAATCAGGAAAGGCATCTGAAGAAAGAATAAGACTGATTAAACACATTTTGTAATTGTCATGTGGATAAAATAATCACATATCCGCCATAGGAGTAGCAGTTGAATGCAAAAGGATTGATTGGGTATCTGAAATTCTGGTTAAATGGGATTACCCAGGTAAAATGATATCTGTACTTCATCTGTTCAATACACAGAGAGGAGAATTCAAAGAATAATTGTTAAGACTTTCAGTCGATCTAATATATAAGGAGGCAAAACAAGGTCAAATTCCAAATGAAGAATGGGGCCAATTTGTCACTGTCTTAATTCAATTGGGAGAGGCTATTAAAGTTGCTGAAATCCTTTGGACCTTGGTCACGAATGAAAATCATTACAAATTACAAACTGGTACTCCATTGCTCTTGGCTGAACAACTATGCATAGATTTAGCATAAAATTAAAAACCACAATTTATCCAGAAGATTATTGCCGCTTTGCCTATTGATCAATAATTCCAAGAAGTCAGAGACAAATTAATTAAATTGCTATCAGGAGAATAACAAAGAAAAGCATATTTGCATTTTTTGAAGAATCACAGACAAGTTGATATTGAAATCTTAAATAAAATCAAAGGTGCAAACGATCCCAAATAATCCAGTGTTTTACATGGTGCATGCATGTTCGGTCATGCCTTAGCAACAGCAGGCACATAAGATACATCTTTCTTATAGGCAAATTAATAATGGGCAACCAAATGCAATTATTGGTAGAGATTCACTGCTACATCTACTTTGGGAATGATTCATAAATACAATATTGAAGAATCCTAATAAATTATGGCAACTCATTTAGCCTAGACCAATCCATTTGAAATTGGTGGAGCCCTATATGGATTAGGACTTATTCATTTTGGAACTTAAGACCAGTAACTGTTACTCAAATTTTCAGATCACATGAAATCCTAAAAAGAATAAATAATCCATGGAGCTTGCTTAGGTTCAGGATTGGTGGCATTTGCTTCTGAAGATGAAAAATTAAATTAAGATTACAATAATCTGGTTTCCAAAAATGAATCAGTCTATGGAGAAGGTGCCAGCATTGGTTATGGTCTATTAAATGCTGGATCTGGATCTATTGAATAATGCAAACGTCTCTTGGTGTTGGCTGGTCAATCAGATAAAGACAAGATAGTTAGAACCTTGTCATTATCAATTGCTTGTATACTCTTTCATTAAGAGGATAAGGCTGATGTGATTATCGATCAAATGTTATAATCAAATGATCCATTAATTAGATATGGTGGTTGTTTCACCTTAGCTTTTGCATATGTTGGCACAGGAAGCAATAAGATCATTTAAAAATTGTTGTCAATCTCAGTAAATGATGTTTCTGAAGATGTCAGAAGAGCAGCTGTCATCTCATTTGGTTTCTTGATGTTTAAGAATTATGAAGCATTACCAAAAATTATGAGATTATTGACATTATCCTATAATCCCCATATCAGATACGGAACTGCAATTGCTTTAGGTATTGCATGCGCTGGAACTCTGTATGCAGATGCCATCTCTGCAATTGAACCAATGTTAACGGACACCGTTGATTTTGTCAGACAAGGTGCCTTGATAGCTTTGGGAATGATTCTATCTTAAGGAAACAAAGATCAGGAACCTAAATTTGAGCCAATTATGAAATCAATAAATGAAATTGCTGCTAAAAAACATGAGACTGTTCTAACAAAGTTGGGATTAGCCATTTTCTAAGGATTACAAGATTGCGGAGGTAGAAATTTGACAGTCTCACTGTAAAGCAGATAAGGAGTGCCAAAATTAAATGCTTGTGTTGGTATGTTATGGTTCTTAAACTATTGGTACTGGTATCCTTGTTTAAGTATGATATCGATTGCTTTATAACCAGCCGTCTTTATTGGTTTAAACGAAAAGTATATTGAATATATCATAATATTTTAGCCTTGATATTCCAAGAGACTTCCAATTATAATGTAATACCAAGTAATCAGTTTTCGATTATCCTCCTCCATAGAAAAAATCAGAAAAACCAATTGCTGAGAAGAAGACTGTGCAATTAAGTACAACTCAGAAAGTGAGAGCTAGGACTAATAAGAAAGATCTAGAAAAGAAGCAAATTGATTCAGCATCTCAAGGTGTCATTTCCAGAGAACAATCAAAAATGAGTTTAGAGTAGCAACCAAGTGAAATCATCAGATAACCAAGTCTTGTAGAGGAATAAGACAAGAAATAGGCTGCACCAAAGGATGAACCAAATCAATATATTATATCAAATCCATGCAGAATTTTAGATAAACAAAAAAAACACATCTAATTATTAGAGGGAAGTCGTTATTAGCCACTCCTCAAAGTATTATATTGATTTTATCATAATTAGGATCGTAAATAAGGTTTGGTGATGTTGATTGATAGTGAGCCTACACAACCTGCTGATGTGATATCTCTCACAGTTAAACCAAAACAACCTATAATTGAACAAGTTGTAAATTAATAACCTGCTCCACCTAATTAAGTGCCAGAAGAATTTGTGTTCGATGAAGCTCTTTAGAATGAAGAACAAAAGCCATGAGAAGAACATAATATAAATATATAAATAAATAAATAAAATGAAACATATTGATCAACTTAAAGAGTATTATGGATAACAATAATTGATATTTGAGAAAGATCTGGATTAAATGAGAAATCACCTTTCAAGAGTTGACAATGTTAGATTAAAGGCAGAGAAGGAGCTATTGTATTTACAATCTAAAGCCAAAGAACAAAAGGTTTGGGACATCGTGGATCAAACTCCCTTTTTGCCTGTAATTGAAGGAGATAGAATATTTAAAACTACCAAATTTGTTAACTCCAATTTAACAGAAGCTGAAAAAAGATAATTATTGTTACAAGAATATTATAGAAATGACAAAGCTCGAAATGCTATCAGATAACTATATAATACTAATAATCAATATGAGGATGATCAAACAGTACCCGAATTATATACTGAAACACAATTAATCCTGCCGAAAATTCATGCTTAAACTACTTAAGTTTTTGATGAGTCCCTACTTAGAGATTTATAATCAATGAAAAATAGAGAAGATGAAATTACCAAAAGATTATAAGCTAACGAAATTACTTAAATTAAAAATCCCTCTGACTATTAAAGAATGCTTGAAAACCAAACTATATTACCCATCTTGTAGAGTATGAAGAACGAAGGCTAGAGATCTATTGTTACTCCAATGGAAAATCATTAGTAAGTAGAATCAGCGTAGAAAAAACTAAGATCAGAAGGTGATTCTGCTTAAATTACATTTGTTAATGAGTATGAACCCTAAAACCAGCAAATGTAAAACACATAATAGCAGTTTGAACTTGACTTTACTGGGGAACATTAAAGAACTGAAGAGCTCTTATTAAATGAATCAGAAATACCAAAGGCATAGGATCAAATGTTTGAATATGAAGAATAATAATCATTTTAAGAACCTTAGGATCCTATTGATGAAAAAATAGATGAATTATTAACCAACATTCAATAAATTGTTACTCACTAATATTAGCCTCATCAATCCATATAAAAAACCAATAATGCTTTATAAACTACTTGGAAATTGGCAATTGAAAAAGATCAAATTGCACCTAAATAAAGGCCAAAGGATTTCAAACCTGTTAATTTCCTAAAAAAGCCTATCGTACAATAAGAACAAATACTTTACAAGCCGTTAGTACAAACTCAATAGGTTCAAAAACCTTTGCCAGATGACAATTTTGAGAGGCTAGACAGACTAATTTAACACTTAGAAATATGAATTTATAAAATGATATAAGACTTCCTTCTTAAACAGAATGCTTCATAAATTTATAATCATTTATTTGGTTTTGGTTTGAATAATAAGGATTATCCACTAGGTTTCTTAACTTGAGGTAATCTATCTAACAATTTTTAGATATCTTTGCAATTATTCATCTCCTCCTCATTTTTTGGTTATTATAACGTATTTTTAAATAATGATCTCTTCCTATTTAATAATGGATCCTCCTAAGTCAATTCTTTTTTATCAATTATTCTGATATTTGATTTTTACAGCTTTTCTTCTTAGAAATTCAGTTATTATTTAAGTTTGTCATATTCGATTGACATTTGCTTCTTTTCTTATTGTGCTCTATAAAAATTGAGTTTGTGAAAATCTCGTTATTATTTTAGTTTTTGTAGCGTTGTTGATGCTTTTTCAGCCATCAAATTAGATCTTTCAAGTTCTCCCTTTACAAATAAGAGTTCATCCTTTAATTTCTCGAACTATACATAAATGTCTGGAATCGAACAGATGCTATTTATGTGGAACATAGCTGACTTTGTTAATTCTGTCCATTCTTCCTTTTATTTTCAATAATTTTACTTAAAATATTTCGAGGCTTCGATGTAATTAATATTTAATAAAGAAGTTGCAAATAAATTAATCTAATCTCTCTCCTTTTTTGATTTTACTTTGATCTTACAGGGGGGATCTATTATTTAAACTCAATTTCTAAGATTAAATATTTTATACTTTGTATATCTGCAATAATTTTATCTAAATCATCTAAGTTGTCATCATTATAATTAATTTCATTCAATTCGTCAAGTTATTCTAGTTTTATTGATTCCATTGAGTTGCTATCTGAATCAGAAATATCTTGTTGATTCATATTATAATTTTATATATTAGATTAATAATAAATATAATGAAATATTTCTATTCAAAAATAATTGTACCAAATGATGATAATCACAGATATTAAAATTAAACCAACCATTGAGTAAGTAAGTATTTTTCGATAAATGGCACGATTCTTCATACGATTTATCAAGGATTCTGATGTTCCGACATCATGAGTTGCCTCAGTTGTTTTTTTTATCATGCCATCAAGTTTGTTAGTTTAATTCTATAACTAAAAATTAAATGTGTGTTGCATGTCCTTCAGCTTCATAGGCGATTTTAGTATATTCAATTAGTTATTCATTTTATTTAATTGCCATAGCCAATGTAGGAGAGGTGTGTTAAACATATTAAGTATACTACTATTTCAGTTATTGAAATTCACTCTTGTACTATGTGAGTTTAGTGAATTGGGGACCACTGCGATTGCCAATGGACAATTACATTCCATCCAATGATCTTTTCAAATTATTGAATTTCTTCCATAGCTTCTCTATAATCCTATTGTGTAGCAGTTGGTGCTTGATGAAACTTGGACATTAGGGCTTTTGAATATTTCTGAAATTCATCTTCGTAGAGATTAAATTCTTCATTCATTTTTATTTATTTTACTACTTGGGTACATTTTGAAATATTATAATACTCAAAGGAATATAGGAATATATTTAAATTGAATTACATATGAACAACGATAACATTAAATTATAAATCATTCTGTTTCCATTTTGTTATTATTATTGTTATTGGCCTCATTTTCTTATGGTTATTTTTAAGGTTGAGGCTCTTCAGGCTTCTTCTCCTCTTTTGGTGGTTCTGGTTTAGGTTTGTTTACAACTGGTTAACATTTCTACATCGTTAATTTAAGATAATTACATCTCTGAATTCATTATATTTGGCTTAGATTTGTTGGACTGAAGTTGTGAATCTGAGTGTTTTATCTGCTTTGCTTAAGGCATCCAAAACTTAATTGCACCATAATTTGAAAGCACTCACTTCATTGGCAACAACTTGTCTTTCCTCAGGTGTGATATGAGCATATTATTATTCCTATAATATTTAATAAGTAAGTATACTTGTGAAGTAACAAATCCTTCATAATTGGAAGTGTATTGTAATACTTATTGAATAGTCTCTGGGACTAATCTGAACTCATCAGCAATTGTGACTATTGGGCCACACAATTAGACAAGTTTGTCGTATCTATCAGAATACTCCCTCTTTGTGGTCTTTTGACCATCACCATAGAGCCATTCGTATTAGACATCTAATTCCTTAAGAATTTGGGTCTTGAGATCAGGTTTAACGTGTTAGGCATATTTGCCATTGACATTCTCTCTCCATGCATAAATGTAGGCTTCCAATTAATTCTTTTTGAAATGGGTTTCGTGAACCAATTTGTCTTAGTTTTACATCTCGCACTCTTATTGGAATAAATGATCAATGTCCTTTTTGGAGAGACTATTCAAGGAGGTGGTTTCACAATTGATTTAAGTTTAGATAGTTTTCTTCTTTGATTTTAATTCAAATTGTGGTTCTTCTGGTTTTGGTTATTCTTGTTATGCAGCCTCTGGAGCTGGTTATTATGGTTCGGCAGCTTGTGGTTATTATTGTTGGGCATCAGCGGCTGGTTTAGGTTGTTCAGCTGGTTTAGGTTATTCAGCAGGTTTTGGTTTTTCAATCTAATGAATTAATTAAATATTTAAATACAGGCACTTTAACTTCTTCCATGAATTCTTCTTACAATACTATTTCTTCTAATTGTAATAATCCATTGTGATTCAATAAGATCTTGATCTTTGTTGAATGCTCTTGGTGCTTTGGGTTTTATGGAGGCACACGAATTTATGCTAAAATTATTATAAATCAATATTACATAAAACAGCTTAGAAACCTTCAGGGACAGGATCATAGAAGAGTGTAATTTCAATTGGTTCAGTTTTTAAAAGTGCGAAACTCTTGATGGAAGGAATTGGATTATTTTAATCGAATAAGACCTTGCATTGTTTTTCTGGGAAACATCTAACCAATCCTTGGCTTTTATCTTATTAGCTTAATTATTGTCCATAGAGCCAACCTACTCTAATTGGATAGTAATTGCAATCTTCAATCTTGTATTCAGTGACCTTGAAATTTGGACTCTTCATGGCAGCCATCATAGCACATCCTCTTGAAATTGATTCACTGGCATTCAAAGTTCTGGATACTTATTCAATTTTGAATATCTTTTCAATTAATCTTTAGACTGCGGGAATTCTTGTTGCTCCTCCTACAATTTCAACTGAGTGCAATTGCAATTTCAAATTCTAAACTTAACTGAATAAGAATTCTAATTGTTATTGAATCTAATTCAACACAGGTTAGATCATTTATTCAAAATCTTCTCTCTTGATTAAAGTGTTGAAGTCCTCATCTTCCACTAAATACTCGACATTAATTGGAGCCTCTGAATTTGCAGACAAGACCTTTCTAGCTTTTTCAATCGATTCCAATAGTCTTAATTTTCCTTTAAGGTTTTTTCTCACATTCAGACCACCTGATTATTATTCAAATTGTGTGGCAAATTTTTCAAATAAAACCCAATCAATATCTCGAGCTCCTAAGTTTCTCTCATTCACTTAAGCAACGACGGAAGCCTTTTCCTTATAGAATGAACCCACAAAGGCGGAGAATTTGGAATGTCCAAAATCAACAAATGCCACATGTCTTGGTTTATCAGCATCCAAATCTGCTTTTCTAAATAGACCATAATTAATTGCAATTGCTGTTGTTTCGTTTAGCAATCTCTCCAAGGGAATGTCAGCGATCTTGCAAGCATCAATCAAGGCCTTTCTCTCTGATTCTGTGTAATAAGCAGGCACACTGATACAAAAATTACTTGCTTGACTATTTATGTCATTGTGAGCTATAACGTGCTTTAATTTGTTCAACATAGAACCTGTCAATTGTTCAGGAGTGAAGGTGGTCTTCTAACCAAGGTAATTGACCTCAAATTAAGTTTTTCCAGAATCATTTGTAGATGTAGGAACAGTCAACCATTTTGTCTCTTCTGCTCTGAATGCAGGCTCACCGTGTAATCCCAAGAATCTGTTGAAAAAAGCAACAGAATTTTTGAAATTGGACTTTTGTTATAAGGCTCCTTGTTCTCCAATGAATCTTTCTTCGACTGTGAATCCAACCACATTTTATGTTTCTCTATGTGATCCTTCATTGTCTAGAACCTTCACACCACCCTTTAAGGCTGCGGCGATTACAGATCTCTAACTACCAAAGTCAATACCAATTGAAGCAAGTTAAGACATTAATTAGTTTAAATTTTTCGAGAATCAGCCACTTATAAAACATCCATAAAGTGCTAGAATATTCTATAATTATTAATAAATTAACGTATTTATCTGATCAAAACCTCACCCAAGTTTAAGATAATGTGTTCTAAATGCCATATCTTTACGTAAATTATCTAAACTTATGATCTTATCAAAGAGTTGAGCCAAAAGATAAATAAGAAAAATCAAAAATATTATTTTTATCCATTAATGGTCTTAATTTCTTTTTATAATTTCTAAATTTTTATTTATGCCGCCATCCTCTGCATTCACAACAAAATTATAGAATTATTTAACATATATTAAATATAGATAGTTTTAATAGTAACTAAACTCAATTCATTTTTTTGGTTTTAAGATGCTTTTCTTTAATGGAGGAGGTTAATGTTTAGGTAGAGATATCTTACCAGCCGATGTTTTTTGAGGCGCGTATATCTTCCCAACAGAAACACTTTTTTGCCTAATGTTGCTTGTAGTATTTTCTTTGTTTTTATACTACAAGGCCTTACTAAATCTAGACTCCATCTCATTAAATTTGCTCTCCATCATTTTAAAGGAGTTTAATACCATTTCGCTGAATTCTAAGAGTGATCCATCAAATGATTACCCTGATATCGGTCTTGCTACGATTTCTCTTACAATGTGTTTGCTTTCACCTCCATCTACTACACTTCACTGGCCAAATCATCTTATTTCCCTAAATCAAAATCATCATCAAACATGTTAACTGAAATTATAAAATATTTATTAAAATAATATCAACTACAAAGTGAAATAATCTTACTTAAGCCTTCTTCAAAATTGGCAAACAATTCAATATAGGTCCCATCCCTCGCTTCATCCGTCAAACGATAAAAATTGTTCCTTTGATTCATATACTTCTTTTCTTGAGAACTACACAATATAAAATGCCAAAATCCATCCCTCAATTTCTCCAACAATTCAACTAATTTATCATTTTGTTCAGCATAATTTTCCCCAAAAGTCATTACAATTAAATAGTTAGTGTACTTTCTAGGAAGATCTTGATTCAAAGATTCCAAAATTCCTTAATACAATTTTCTTTAATTTTATGTCTATCTCCCGCTTAAATAATCAAAAAATCCATCCTCCATATAATTTTTACCCATAGTTTCTAGGATACTAATTTTTGATTAAGATTCAATTAATACATGCGTATATTCATCAAAAGTTGATACTTATATTAAATCATCATCATTCATATTTTAAAATATCTAATTATAAAAATAACTAATACTTATTTAATAGTTTCTACAACTTCTAGTTAGTTCTCAGCCATTCTTTGTGTTGAATCAATTAGAAATACAAACTATCTTTTTTAATTCTGAAAGAAGTATTGAAGTTATTTTAAGGTTTAACTATCAGATCTAAATTTATCCTATTTTGCAAGCATTGATGATAACATCTTAATTGTTTTGACTCTTAATTTTGCTTTATAAACATTTCCGTAATCTAGAGCCAGCATTAATTATTAGATAGCCGGTTGTAATTAACCACTAGACATATAAATTAATCCTCTATAAAAATAGATTTTCTACTGAACAACTTACAATAGCTTTTTGTCTTAATTAAAAGTTTTATTTTAGTATGAAGCATTTTTACTTAAAGTGTAATTTTGTTGCAAAATTAACTAAGCTTAATCAATGCATTATTCAGCTTCCTTTATTTTTCTAAGATTGAAGAGTAGTTTGCATTTTTTAAAGAATAACTTAATTTGTAAAGTGAACTTAATCTCTAAGGTGTCTGCAAAATCCATGATATTTGAAAATAATGTCTTTGCTTAGTTAAAGGCATTTCTGTCTCGACTCTTATTTCTAATTAATAATTTTGATAATAGATCTAATAATTAATTAAGAGATTGAAATAATTTGTAGTTTATTCTCATGATCTCCTCTGATTTAATTAGCTAAATGTCTTTCTTTTACTGTTCTAGTATAGAAATGAGTTGTTTATTGTATGTGATTGCAGTCTCATAGTCCTTCTATCTACTGAGTTCTGTTACCAATTTCATCAAAATTAACTCCAAACATTCAATAGAGTTTCGCTTCTCAAAAATGTGTAATCCTTGTTCTAATTTCTATAAATCATGAACCTTTTTATTTAATTAATTTAAGAATTCAATCAGCCAGCAAAACTCATCAAAAATTTAAAGCAATTCATTCAATTCAGTCAAATTACTTTTTTGGCTTTCTTTAAATGCATTTAAATCTTTGTGCATTGTATCATAATCTAATTCAAAAAACATTTACATCATCAGAGATACTTAATTCAATGTTATACTTATTTGATCAAATTCATTTTGAGTTATTATATTGACTAAAATGGGAGTCAACAACAAAAATAGAATAAAAAATTAAAAGAACAGAAAGAAATCAAAATAATCTTCCTATTTAGTTTCCACTAGATTTGTGTATAATTAATCATTGAAGGTGGCAAGCAATTACCATCTATTAAAATTTTATTGGAGAGCAATGAGTTTATCTTATTCCTCTTTGGTTTAATTTAATAGGTCCTCCTTATATTCTGAAGAGAACTCATCATTCTAACACATATCTAAATATAATTACTATGTCATAAGTCCCAATTTTAATTGCTTAATAAAAATAGACCTTCATGTCTACCATAGACAAACTTATAATTGGATTCGATGACTCATAATTACGAGTTAAAGTATGAATTTGATTGACCCAATAAGTTTTTTCTATACTCTCTAAAAACTCAACAATGTCTTAATTATTCTAATCATTTAAATCCATATTACTTAATTCAGTAACAGGACTGCATTTCAAATCAACAGTAAGACAGTCATCGCTTACATCAGAAATTACTGAATTATTTATAGTAAACAGAGCTGTGTATAAAATGCCTTCCTAATACTTATACTCTGCTAAATCCAAAATAAAACACTAATATAATGAATCACTAACTAATTGTCCACATATCTATGTCAATTGAATATTGAATGGAAACAAACTATAAAATACAGCTTGATCTTTCATTTAACTTTTCATATATTAAAAAAGGTTGAAACTGCCCTTTGAGTTCTCAGAGATTTCCAATAATTAACAGAATTTTGGATGATTTGTGCAGTTCGGAGTTGATTTAAAATCGTACTAATCTAAAGTTGTGTTCTAAGCACATAGACTCCCTGAAGATAATTATATTACGAAATAAGGGAGGTTTGGAATATATATTTTGGTTATTTCTTCAATCTATGCGATTTAAGACATTTCTGAAGCTGTAAAAGCACCTATAGTTGTTTATAAAGTAGAATTTTGTTAGGATATCTCCTGTTGATTAATTGTCAACTTAGAAATATTGAATAAAAATCCAATTGAGGAAATAGTTTGTTGCAAATCAATACCTGTCAATGTTATATTAGCCTTCATTATTTCAATAATAGTTTCATTATTGCTTGATATCTGAGCTAAGGATAAAATAAGTATTTCTACAATTAATCCAATACATAACTAGAATGAATAATACGCTTAGACTTATGGTGGTTTCAATCAAATCAGCAAAGAATAGGGTTTATGTGACAATTAGTTTAAAATGATGTTAAATGTTTGTCATTTTTAATAAAAATGTAAAAATTTATGGTTTTGTTCATAAGTAATGAATAATCAAAAAAAAATATAAATATGTGTTTAAAAAGAGGTTGAATCATTATATCATACTTATGTCTCTAATAAAATCATATTTATTAATAGCTTATACCTTATATATGTAATTGCCAATCTTAGATTTAATAAATTATTTATATGAAAAAAAATTGGGTAATTTATCCCATAATAATTTAAATTTATCCAGGTATTTAGATTAGCTGGTAAAGTATTTTATAAATATTCATAAAATTGACAGTCTAAAATGAGACAATATTATCTATTTAAGCTTTTTTTGATGAATGAATTACAAAAATATCATATTCTTAAAATTAGATTGTTATTACAAATGGTTGCAAAAGATGTTGCAAATTTAATAGCAATAAAATTTAAAGAAATCAAATTATTTCAATTGATTCTTTATGAAGATTCAAATATCTTTGTTGATTATGTTAATGAAGTATTAAATATTTAGTTATTATTAATACATACATATATCAAAAATCTTCATCATATTCCATGCTTATAAAGTCATAATTCTGGATATTGTAGTATGCCAAATCTTTATTATCTTTTAATAACCTTCCATGGTAAAATAAATGAATAGCATTTGGAAATAGTAGAGATTAAGATTCACATATCTTATTTTTAAGTGCATAGATCTTATCATTTAGAGTTATATTGACGACAAAATCATCAAAATCATCAACTATTACAATTTCATATGGTTATTTTAAGTTATTAAATAAAAATAATTTACTGTCTTCTTCAATTTTGTATTTAATTATTCTCACATCATTTTCTAACTCTATTCCTTTATAAAACAAGTGTTGTTTAAAAACTGGATATTCTAATTACGATTAAATTTCCTTCTTGATGTCTATTATAGTTTCATATTATTCTTTTTCCATTTCCAATTTAATATTGTTGATATTAATTGAAAATTTTATGTATTATTTTTCAACGAGTTCTAAATTTGAAAAATCAGCAATGTTGTAAAACTATAACTCTTTTTCATCTTTTAAGATTTAATCCCTGTACAATAAGTGAAAATCACCTAAACCAGTATATTTGGATTGCAATTTTTTCTTAAACTCTTTAATTGTCATTTTTGCTTCTAAATTTCTCATAAATCTTCTATTTTTTGATGCTTGATTGATATAAATAAAGTTTTTCAACTTCAATAGAATAACAGAATGCTTTTGAATTTTATAATCATGTAATTTAAAATCATCTTTTAATAGCCTATTCTTGAAAATTAGTAGTTATGAATGAAATGGATATTCATATTCTTGTAATAACTTAAATTTTATGTCTCTAACACATTCATTTAGATTAATATCAATAAAATGTCTTTAGTTATTGTATACTACAATAATACTATTGCTAGAACTTATTTTCAGATGCAAAGTTGAATTTTTCTTTATTGTCTTACTATTAATTTTATCCAATATTTTAGGACCCAAATATAATTTCTGCCTCTTAGGGGGTATGCCTTCTTTTTGTTAAATATAGTCTGTTATCTATTCTAAATAATCAACATTATTGTTAACGCCCAAAGAGAGAATTCTGCCATTCGGTGTTTATACAAAAACTTAGATTGAACTATCTTCATCACAACTAGGATTCACATTATGAAATATGCCTCCTTAGTGCAAAAATGTCATTTCATCTTTTTAATGATCTTCCTTTTCATAGAGATTTGCTTGATTTTCACTTTAAGTTAAATTGTGATCTTCCATTGTTTCTTTTGCAAATAAATTATTCTTCTATTCTGATTGCATCTGAAATACATTAATAGAATTATAGTTTGCAGATAATTACATGAATTTGTACAATTTTAATATTTATTAATAAATCTCATCATAATCCTATGTCATCCTTAAAATTCCAAATATTCAATAGATACAAAATCCTGACTAATAGAAAATCCCTGGCCATTTGGATTGAGGCTTCTACGACATTTAGATGGGACCCTTCAACATCTTCCCATTTCACAGGCACCTCTGAGACTGGCACTTTGTATTTTTATGCAATCATAAATAATTCTACATCGAATGCCCATCTCTCCAAATGAAGTACTCTAAACAATATTGCTGAAGTGTTTTTTGTAAACAACTTAAACCCACATTGAGTGTCCTTCAATCTAACACCACATATGGTATTAATGATGAAATTAGAACAATGCATCAAGAAATTTCTATACCATTTCCTTTGAACAACTACATCTTTCACTAAATGATTTCTTGAACCTGCCACCAATCCTAATCCATTTTATGTAATTTTTATTAACTAAAATCTTTGTATTACTTATGTACCTCTTTTGACAATTTCTCATATTCATTCAAATCTGTAGCTAGATCTGCATCCATCATTAACTAAATTTCACCTGCAGCTGCTAACATTCCCAGTCTTACTGCTCCTCCTTTTCCTCTATTTCTATTGTACGTAATTATCTTAAAGTTTTTATTATTCATTGAATACTTCTTGGCTACTTCCAATGTCTTATCTTTTGATGCATCATTGATGATTATTATTTCGTATTTATAATTATTAAAGTGCTAATCAATTGTTATTCATATATACTTTGAATGTTGCTTCTAATGTTCTTCCCAATCTATTTTCCTCATTGTATGATGGAATAATTATGCTTAATTGAACTTCAGATGTATTTTTATATGAGGAATACTTGTATTCTTTTCCATCACAAATTATCACTATACTATCGTCCTTTTTCACTGTTTTTTGTTGATTTTTCCAATTAGTATAAGGAGTGAACAGCCAATTTATTCCCATTAACAACCCAAGAAAAATAAGCAATAGAAATATTTCTAATAACATTATTTATTTATTTATTGTGTTGTTGAAAATAAAATGTAAATTATCAATTTCCATATAAAATTACGTGTCTACCTATTACAAGTCTATCTAGATTTGAACACCCCTGCTAAAAGTCATAAAACTACCAATAACAAAAACAAAGCAACAGGAGAGTTGTACTAAATATCTATATTATTTAAATCTTATGGAGAAAATGTTGAATATTCAGCATTTATAAAATAGATCATCTTTACAAATGACAAGTTTATCTTCAATTAGTTTATTTAGGTGAGCCTAGAGGGTAATCTTAACAACTTTCCGCATGTAACCATCATTACTATCTGGATACACAATGTTTTTGATTTCCTCAATTGACTATCCATTAATCACTTAGTAGATCTATTATTCTCTATTCTTTCGGTGTTGAATTTGATTCTAGATTGCTTCTTAAGCTCCTTCAATTATAGTGTATCCATGACCTGGATAGATAGCCTTTCTTAGAGATTAGGGATAATAAATACATATTCATGTTTTATATTTTTTCCATACTTTACAAATACTATTTCACATTTTCCATGTAACAAGAAGAGCCTCCCAAAAGGCAATCTCCTGAAAACCATTCTTAGTTAGAGGTCATGAAACCAAAATGGTCAACACAGTGTCCTGGTAACGATATGGCTGTGATTGTGCAATTTTCAACTTAGAAAATTTATCCATCCTAAAGTGGTTTAAATGGATAGAGCTTATCACTCTCCAAATTGTGATCTAAATTTTTATATACTTGAGAATTTGGAAATAATTCAAGCACCTATGAGATTCCTCCGATGTGATCATGATGATGGTGAGTTATAAGAACAATTGTAATTTCACATTATTCATTATCAACAATTTATTTTAAATGCATTTTGTATTCTTCCTTTCCTTCGCCTGTGTCTATTAAGATTCTTGCTTTTCCAGTTCCCATTAAGTAGGTGTTTGTTCCTTTTAAAGTGAATTACCCTGGATTATAGCCTGGAATTAATATCATAAATAAAAATAATGACAGACACTATTATTGGAGGTGGGGTTAGTGAATTTGTGGCCAATCGCCAATACGCGAAGATCCAATATTTGCAAGAGGAGAACAAACAATTGCTAGAGTAATTGAAGGACATGGAGAAGGCATTAATATTGAATAAAGAAGTTCTTCGCTTGTCACTTGAACAAAAGTACAAATACACTATTAACAAACAAGCCTAAACAATTCCAATAACTCAACAAATTGTAGTGAGTAGAATTAAACTCTTCATTTGCAAATGAAATTGCATGAAGAAAATGAAATGCTCAGAAACTAAATTGTTAAATTGACAGAGGAAAGAAACTTAGCATAAAACAAAGTAACTGGCTTAATTATATTAATGAAAGGTTTTGTTGTAATCTCAAATATCCGAAGAAAACTAAGCGTTTTTGAAGGATTTAATTGTTGAATTGGAAGAGAAAGTAGGGGAAATGCGAAGATGCATCTAAGATAAAGAATACACGATTCAAGACATTGAGAAAAGCAGAGGTTTAATTGACAATGGATAGATGGTAAAGATCAGGGAGATCGTAACACCACACGAATAAACCTTGAGGTTGACCGAGGAATTAGAATCTACCAGATAGCTTTTAAATAAGGTATCTCAAGGATCCCAGAAACTACAGGAACAGAACAGAATGCTAAAAGACCAAAATTAAGTAAGTTTAAATTATATTTCACTATTAGAATTTCCTACGAGAGTAAATCAAATACCATCTGATACTAAGGAGTCCTTTGGCATATTATAAGATGAAAAGTAAGAAAATTCCCATAATAATAAGGCTACGTTTATAATGATGATCTAGGTCATTCAGTTGATAATCTAGAAATTCATAATGAAAATTATTCGAATTAAGTCTTTAATACAGGTCAAAATGATCCTGCCCCATAAAGAGATGGGTAATACTAATAACAATAACAAAATAATATGAAATATTTGACTAATAATGAGAGGTACTTAAATAGAATAAATAATTTAGGGCAATTTATTAAGAGAAATTATAAAAAACGGAGTCTTTATTGAAAGGATACAAGGAGTTGTTTGAAAAGGAAAAGAATAAGGTAGGGTTGTTAGTTTAAATAAAAGATGATTAAGAAAGAAAGATCGAAGAATGTTATAGTTATAATGAAGTGATACTCTAGGCACTTAAAAACAAAGATCAAAAAATAGAATAATTATAGACTGAAATGCAATATTATAAGACCTAATTTGGAAATTACATGTACTTTCTCAAAAATAAAAGAAAAGTTAATCTAGATTTATCATTGTAATTGAAAGAACCAATAAACAATGTACAACCTTCTCCACCTCCTATATCAAATAATAAAATACTAATTAATTTTGATGAGGAATTTGAATAACCTGAAAAGCATATCAGTGTTTTAGATCCTGTTGATGATGATCCTTCACCTGACAATAGAAAAAATATTGACTTAGATGGTTAGATGAAACAACAAAATAAGATGAGCAATATTCAAGAGCCTAATTACTCTGAAATGAATTAATAGGAATGCAAATAGTTTCTTTAGAATACTGCCATCGAACTTTTTGTGCAGTACAATTTGAAGATGAACAATTTGAAAAAAAAGTAATTAATGCATCCATCGATGTCTTTAAAGACTAAACCTATCTGGCATGCAAAGTCATTTAGTGACCCTCTAGATTACTTTACCTTACAATATTACAACCTTTAAGTCTCGGGACAATATGAAATAAATCAAAGATGCAATCTGCCAAACTTTCAAACAATGAAGCAAGGTAAAGGACTTGAAAAACCAAAGTAAGTGTGGGATATTGATTTTAATGAACTGTCTATTATTTAAGGAGAGAAAAGTCAATTTTTTCAATGATTTAGGCTAATAAAAGTAATTGATATGTGATAAATAATTATTATTAAATATCATTAAAGATGATTATTAAATAAGTCTTCTTCATCAACTTCATGCTCATCATCTACAAATGATTATTCGACAAAATAATAAAATTTAAACTATTATTTACTTATCCAAGGATGTTTCAGCATTTATGAAGCTGTAGCTCTTTTATAAGGTATTACATTCAACATAGGTTATAAAAAATCTGCAAATTAATTTGCTTCTTCTTTATTTATCTAGTATCTCTTTATTTTCAATATTCTTACTTCTAAACTAAGATTTATTCCAAAGTATAGTATTCACTCACCTTGAAGTGTCTCAACACTCCATTATGTGAAAAGTACTTTTTGCAATGTTTTCCAACACAAGTAAATTCAATAGGATAGGGACCTAAAACTTATTAGATATAAGCTAAATGTGTTAATTCATCATCATTTTCAATTTCAAATAAACTGTCTCCAGTAATCAATTCAAATGCAATGCAAGCCAAACTCCAAATGTCAGCAGAAGTAGTATAGAACTACCCCATGATTACTTCTGGAGCTCTGTATTACAAAGTTTGGATCTTCTCATTTCTGTGATGATTTATCCAACAAGCCTTACTAAAGTCCACAATCTTTACTTAAAATATTCTACATTTATCTAAGTATTCTACCTCTTGTCCAAACCCACCATCCATTGCAATTTCTACTTTATGCATTATAGTTTTTTCTTCTCTTTCTGTCTCTTTCTTTTTTCCTTCTTCTTGTCCGATGAAGATTGCTTTTGGTAATGTTTGATATTGTCTTAGAATTGTTGTCGTTAAGTGATCTGTCCCTTATCGACCAACTCTTTGACTTGCTCATTGGTTAAGCAAACTCGAATGTTTTCCGGTTTCAAATCAGCATGAATGATCCCACATTCCCTATGCAAAAAGTCCAACGCTATGAGAATCTGCTTGATAATCGATTTGCATTGATCAAAATTCAATCCCCTATCTTCTGTCGAATGAGATATTCTTAATAGATTTACACCCAACATTTCAAACACCAAAACATAATGTTGTCCAAATGGACCTTTGTGTAAAAAGACATGCAATAATTTAACTATATTGATAAATTTTGATTTTTTGTGAATAGTCTGAAGTATCTCAATTTCATTTAATGCCTATTTATTTTCTTAATAATACAGCCTCTTGAAATCTAGGAGCACTCCTTTGAAATTTAAGTGCAACAAAGTTATTTGTCTTAAAATCTTTGGCCAACCATATATTCGAAAGGTGACCAAATTCGAGCTTCTGAATAGCAACATATCTCCCATGAAACACTTCTCCAATAAATACAGGATGAAAACAACCAATTCCATAATTTCTACAGTCTTCCACATCCTCATCTTCATCAGAACAATCAGAAAATTGATCCTAGAAATTTAATCTCAATTCTTCCTACATTATTATAATTTATGGTCAGAATTACAAAGGATTAATATGAAAATCGAATATCAATTATAATTTAATACATTCAAGTCTCCCTCAAGAGAATAACGTATCGATAAAATTAATCACCAAATACAAATTGATCATTAACAATATAATTTTTCAATTGCTGTCTTAGGACTACCATAATTCTGAAACTCTCGCAACTTAAAGGTTTCTTGAATTACCTTCCTACAATCGTAAGCAGGAAGCACATCAGAGAGCAGGAAATCATACAATAACTTTAATTCCTTATCGTCCTTGTTGTCATAATAAGGGATTATTGGAATTCCATTTTCAATATGATACCCAAAGCTGTATGCCGCATTATCTATCAACACAATGTCCTTCATGTCTCTCCCTAACACTCTGAGATCTTTAATATGCACCCCATCATTAGTCACTATACAACTCTCTCGAAACAATTGGGCAGTCAAGATTTTCTTATGATCCAGGAACTGAATCACTTGAGAAGCATAACATTGGTGGGAAGCTGTAAAGACTACGACTTCACAAACTTCTGACAATTGATTCAAGATCTATTTAGCCCAAGGCCTTATGTTGATTCCTGCCTAAACTGTGTCACCTGAAGGAAATGTGATTGGCAAATAAACCTCAGATTTCATTTTTTAATCCTCATTGCAATGGATGAGAGTTTCGTCAAGATCAAACACCACAGTTTTATGATCTAAATCGTATCAAAATACTACATTTGCTATTTTTCTACGGTAAATTTACCATCTTCCTTTGTATAATACTTAAAATAGGCTCTGTTTAATTTAAGCAGAAACCTATGCTATTGTAAGTTTAGAAGGCATGGTCTCTATATAACTAACTGAGAGAATCGTAGGCTCCGTTGACAGCTTCTATCATGGAGCTCACATAGTAGATATTTTCTAAAATATATACTTAAGGTACTTCTTGAAAACGATAAAATTCTATTTTTTGGTGAAAGCGATTTCGCTTATCTAAATGGAGAGATACTGTTAATGTTCTTTGAGAGATTTGAAACCTTGTATTGAGTCACAAAGTCATCCAAACTCAGATGAATATTTAGAGTTTGTTTTTAATCAAGATTTTTTTTGCTATTGGTCTAAGGTCTATCAATCGATGTCCCTTTTTCCGTTTTGAGTTTTTGTGCAAGTTTATTCTGATCTAGAGACAATATATTATATTTTCTATCGGTCTTGGATTTATTCAATAAGCCGAAGGAATTATCCCTTGTCAAACTATTGTTGGCCTTATTATAGCTTTGCTGTATGGTTTTGCTGATTTTTTGAGATGGTTAAGCCTTGTTCTAATCCTTTGATTTGGCAAAAAAGTAATACTTTTATAGCTACAATTGGCATACCTAATGTGGATGAACAGGTTTGGGCGTATTAGTTCTAAGATTTGCATTGATAAATGGATCCTTCTTAGTTACCTATTTAGAGACGGAAGATTTCTTATTTTTTATAAGGGTGCTCAAGCTTTAAGTTTGGTATAATTTATTTAGAGTGCTTTTTTAAATGTCTACTGGAGGAACAGTATGTTGTTCGTATTGCTTGGCGAGTTTAAGTTTTAAACTAGAATTGTCCAAGTGAGATGGCGATGTTTTATTAATATTAGAATACATTAATATCTAATATATAAGAGCGGAAACAAAATATTGTAATTGTTATAATGTATATATTATTTTTTCATTTGGTGGTTTCTGCAGCAACTCTTTTAGCTTCTTCAATGACATCTTCAAATGTTCCTTGCATATAGAATGCATTTTCTGGGTATTCATCACCTTCGCCATCAAGTAATGCTAAAGTAAATAGAGAGATAGAATACCTCTGAATCCAGAAATAGTGTCATTAAGTGAAACGAATTTACCCTTTCTTCCTGAGAAGACTTCAGACATGAAGAATGGTTGTGAAAGGAATCTTTGTACTTTTCTGGCTCTGGCAACAGTAAGTTTATCATCTTCAGACAATTCATCCATACCCAAAATGGCATATGATATCTTGGAGTGATTTATAATCTTACAACAATTTTTAAACTCCTCTTGTGACTGTATAATGTCTAAATAATGTTAAATCTAATATAATACTTTTCACCAACAATATTTGGGTCCATCATACGTGATGAAGAATCCAATGGATCGACAGCTGGATAGATACCCAATTCAGTCAATGCTCTTGACAACACAGTGGTGGCATCCAAGTGAGCAAATGTTGTGGCAGGTGCTGGATCTGTAAGATCATCTGCAGGTACATAAATAGCTTAGACTGATGTGATGGATCCCTTCTTGGTTGTTGTGATACGTTCTTACAATTGACCTAAATCTGTTGCCAATGTTGGTTGATAACCGACAGCTGATGGGATACGTCCCAATAAGGCTGACACTTCTGAACATGCTTATGTGAATCTGAAAATGTTGTCAATAAAGAGCAACACATCCTTTCCTTCCTCGTCTCTGAAATATTCTGCAACTGTCAAACCAGTCAAACCAACTCTGGCTCTGGCACCGGGGGGCTCATTCATTTATCCATAAATAAGAGCACATCTTGATCCACCACTCAAATTGATGACACCTGATGCAACCATTTCATGATAAAGATCGTTTCCTTCTCTTGTTCTTTCCCCTACACCTGCAAACACTGAATAACCACCATGAGCTTTAGCCACATTATTAATCAATTCTTAAATAAGCACTGTCTTTCCGACTCCAGCACCTCCAAACAATCCAATCTTTCCTCCTCTTGCATATGGAGCCAATAAATCGACCACCTTGATACCAGTGATCAAAATTTCAGCACCACTACCTTAATCTACAAAACTTGGAGCTTCTCTGTGAATTGGATATCTGATTTTTGTTTCGATTGGACCTCTCTCGTCAATTGGATCACCAATCACATTCATAATACGTCCCAAGGTCTCTGGACCAACTGGAATTGTAATTGGACCTCCCAAATCTGAAACTGGTTAACCACGAATCAATCCTTCAGTGGAATCCATGGCAATTGTTCTAACTCTACTATCACCCAAATGTTAAGCCACTTCCAAGATCAATTTATGACTTGTTCCTTACACTTACAATGCATTCAAGATTGGAGGAAGAGGTCCATCAAACTGTACGTCAACGACAGCACCAATCACTTAAGCGATTTATCCTGTTGTTGCGGTTGCTGTTTTGCCTGTCTCTGCTTGCTTCTTAGCAGCGGAGAATCCTATTATACTCGTTATCTTTAATATCTACCTAGACGCATCTATTTGGCTAATGCCCTTGTGAGCATTTTATTTATTTAAATAATTTTTAGATATTCTCATAAAGGATATTTAAAATTTAAATAAGCAATTTATCAATTAATTGCATGATGTCTCACTCGTTTCTTCCACTCACTCCTCTCCTCCCTTCCTCCATCCCCATATTTTCCAATAATTTATCTATTAACCTTTTTGATTTATCACATCCCCCCTTATTCCAATTTAATTGTCTCTTTCAATTAGCAATATTAAATCTATACTTATATAATCGAAATTTAATTGCCTCCCCCCCTCCACAAACAACTATATATAATTATCTTTTTAGATAATAAATATATATTCATTATTCATATCTCATTTCACATCTGATTTCATCCTTTTCAATCCCTCTATCACAATCTATTGGAAACCCTTGAAACTGCCATTGTATTCTTCAAACCCTTTCAAATATTTTGCAAACACATGACTTTCCTTTAATGAAAATAGATACTTTGAAAATTGGAAAAGCTTGGTCTACTTTGATTACCCAAAATTTAGTCCTGGCACCACTTAACCATCTCTTACATCAAGCTAATTTATTCACTATTTCTACCTCCTATCTTGTACGAGCTGTAGCAAGTGATTGAAGCACATGTTCTTAGAATTCAACTTGAGCTTTTTGTTCTGCTGCCTCTCTATTTAATTGCTATCGTAATTATCTTACCTTAAACATGTAATGGCATCATTATAAGACTTAAGAAAGACCTTAGCTTCATAATAGGGTTACTCTGTGAACATAATTTTTAATAAATTAAATCAAATCAGTCTTAAATTAGGCAATCCTACGAATATGAAATTGTGAGTATAGATTCTCTTTTTATCAAATTAAATCTCCTTCAGATTTGAAATTTCTTACACAGGTTCGACCTTTCCTCCCTTCTTCGTTTCCACCTACTATGGTTTCTTGTCCATTATATTTCCATTCTCATCCTAATACTTCACAATTGGAGCCTAAAGAAATTATTAGGAGTATCATACCTTATATCTTTACAAACATGCTGCCACATAAATATCTTCTGTTAATTATTTAGCCAAATTTTCAAATGCCTTTAAAAATTCTACTATTTAAGGTGACCATTAAGTTGTTAATATTGTACTCACATCAATCAGAGTCAAAAACACAGAGATTTTGAAATTCTGTTCTAGAATGTGAGTCTTCTCACCATCAGGATCCAAAGATGAGAACTTTTCAATCAAACTTTTTTTTGCATTCATCTTATCAAATATCACCCAAAATTTAGAAGTATTAATTTCACTTAGATCTACAATTACTTTTGATGACAAAATGTTCAATACTCCAGGAGATCCATACCAGAAAATAGATGATCCTGTTTAAGCATACTTTTACAATTCTCCCAAAGATGCCAATCTACTTTAAGAGAAAGTCTAAAATTATATAATATAATATTACTCCTTCAAATTTAAGTTAGGGTGTTGTTTTTTAAATCTCACCTAAAGTCTTTTGTAAATTAAATTCGTCCAAATTTAAATCCTAATCCTCTGTCTTAAAATCGTAAGTGAGGTATTTCAACTTGTCCTTCTCTATTCCTCTTGAGCTATTATTTAATTAAACTTAGAAACCCACACTTTTCAGTCTTCTAACATACACAGGCATACTAAAATCTCTTGACATTGCAACAATCTTTTAAAATACCTTCAATTGTTCAATAGGATAATCAAAGAACTTAGGATCAATCAATAAAACAATGGTGTCAATCTTACCAGGTGCTTATTCTAAGGGAGATTCGTATTAAGCCAATTCATCCTTTCCTGGTTTCCCTTTGGTTTACTTTCCTTAATCTTTCTTGGGAGGAGGTGCCTTAGGATCAATTACAGGTGGAGGTACTTCCTCTTAAGTATTTATATTTTCATCAATCAATTGAGGCACAAAACTCATAAATTGTTCCACATCTACACAAAACTTGGTGTATTCCTTTTCCATGTCCTCCTCCAATTTGATGAAGTCCTATTATTGAATTATTGGTGTTTTAATTAAATTATTCTTAATCTAATCTAAATTGGCTTTCATTTAAGTCAACTAATCATGAGTTTTAGAATCCAATAGTATTCTTTACACTTTGTACACTGGAGTTTTTGTGTTATGTAAATATCCTAAGTACAAACACGTTTTGTTCTGACTCATCTGCATTATTAGAAACCCAGCACTCTATTACACTTACGCCTATAGTTCTGTCAATGGGAAGATCATCAGATTATCCCATAATTTATTAGCCTCGGTTAATAATTTAATGGCCTCCTAATTAAGAAATCCACAGGCAGAATTGATCATCTTTATTAACCTAATATACACTATCATTTTATGCTTTCCGAAGAATGATTGTCTAACCATGTTAAACATCTATTCACAAAAAGCAAAATGCTAAAACTTACATAAATAATCATAAGATATTTCAGGACTCTTTCTTCCCAGGATATCTAAGGCAGATTCATAGAGCATTTTCAAATAAAAGTTCATTTACTTGAATCCAAATATACTCCATTCTAATGGGACAGTTGTGTTGTCTCCTTTTGCTTTCAATACTGTGAATGCTTTTGATTCAATGTCTTTAATCAATTTTAATACGCTTTGTAAAGCATCCGTCTTATAATCAAATTAATTGTCCTCCTCTTACTACAATTAAACAACTGAATCTTGTCCTTCAACTGGTGTTTCCCAAACATCATCCAATTACTATTTACTTATAGCTAGATATCTTTTTGCTCTCACCAACTCAATCTCAGCTATTGTATACCAAAATGAATCTTTTTTCAATTGTTTCAAAGTGGATAACAATACAGCAGTTGCCTTCTCAAAACTTTCCAATCTCTAAGGAAGTGGCTAGATTGCCCTTTATATCTTAATGGTTAATTATGTTAAGAATTTCTAGAGAGGTTCGTAATTGCTTAATTGTTCAATTGGTTTGTCTTCTAGTTAATCGTTGTTATTGTCATCGTCGGACCCTTAAAGATCAGGCAATTGCATTTATTTTCGCAACCACTTAATCAATCCCATTTCAATAAAACAAGACGCCATTATCACCCTTATCTTAGCTTATAAATCCATGATTGGGGATCTAATTGATTCCGATTCTTTTTCAATTAGGAGTGTGTACTTTAATAAGGATCTACTTTGTTATTCTAAAGGTTTAAGGATTGAGTTCTGCAATCTCTATATAATTTTGAAATAAATTTCAACTTAGTCAATTTTTGTGTAATTCTTATTTCTAACAAAGATGAGAATTTTATTCACTAAGTTTAATATTAGATCTATTTAATGAGTCATAAATCCGCCATGCATGATGCATTTTAATGATTTCTCTAAATTCTCTATTATCTATTTGAATATGTCATATGAAAATTCTTTGAATAAATCCTTCGTTGATATTTTAGATTACAAAATGTATAAAGTCGTTAATGTTTAATAAATCTATAATTTGTTTGGTGAATAATTGGGTTTATTTAGGACTTCCAAAAGCACTTCTGTAATTTACTTCAGGAATTACCTAATATCGTCATATTTCCCTAGTTTATACAGAGTCTTATATGTTTCAATTGATGAAGCCTCCCATTAGCTTACATTTTTAATCAATTTATGGGATAGTTTGTGATTTTCAATAGAATCTCTGAATTCCCCTTCTAAGAATGCAATTTACCCTTAAAGACATAAGATTCTTCCCATCAATTCTAAATCTGAGACAATCTTGGCATGTTTGTGAGATTCAGCTAATAATTCTTTGGCTCTATATATTTCACCTGAAAAGATTAATTCATTGCCTAAATCGGTCAGAATGGTATAGACAAAGATCTCACTGATGATGTTGGCCTAAGGTAGATTTTGTTCCATAATGTCGGCTGGTCTGGATCTATTTTGTTATAACACACTAGATTCAGTTTTTGCGAGCATTTATTTCTTCTCTTAGTCTGTCAATTTAAATTTAACAATGTTAGATTATTAATACATCAACTCTGCTTCATTGTGAAATCCCACTTGATGTAAACATTTACTGAATCTCACATCAATTAATCTATCTAAATAAGAATTATTTAATATTTCTTTAACAAAAAATTTCTAAAACACAAAAATCGGAACGCTGTGGATTTAAAGCCCATATTTTTCAAAGATACTAATCAAATTGTTTATATAAGTATATGTTAATTAAGCCTTGTCAAATAAGTATTTACCCATAAAGTTAAAATCTTCATAACTTTTGACTCTTTCTAAGAATTCTTTACTGAATTATAATTTGATCCAATCTTAGATACAAGTGGGTAGAAGATATCTAGGGGAGAAATCATCTTATTGTTAAGGTTTTGGTTGTTATTACTGTTGTTTACTTGTTTTTTCATCAATAATGTTTGTGTATTTAGCGGCATTCTCTTCAAATTCATTCATAGTTTGAAATGATATTTCAATGATTTTGATTAAGAATACTTTAGCATCTATTGCATATTAAATAGACTATTCCATAGTGTCAGCAATCATTGCTAACATAATGTGAATTCTCATTAATCTTTCATAATGAGCACAATTCAATCTATTTGGATTGGCTTCCTCCTCTCTCGGTTTGAATATTTTTGACTTTTATTTATTACTTTTGATTGTTGTTGTTCTAACATTCGCAGCTCTTGAAAACCTTTAATTACTAGATTTCTATCCTGATATTTATGACTTTTATTCTTTGCTTTTATTTTACTTAACTGTGTTCTTAGTAGTCTTCTTGGTCATTTTTGATTTTTATTTTGATTATTTAGAAACTGTAGACTTTTTGCCTCTCGTACTTCTACTGAAAATAGTTGATGAATTCTATTCTTCATCTCCTTCTTCTTCTTCTTCGTCTTCCTCCATTTCAATCTCTATTAAAGTGTCTGCAGCCTACATTAAATTTTCAATCACCAATTGTTTTTCATTCCCGTTTCTCAACAACCATTCTGAAAATTCAATTAACACCTCAACTATTTCAACAGAAGAATCCTTCTTTAACAATTCAATAGCCTTATTATACGCTGTATATTATTTATATAGATTATTTGATACTCTTGCTAATCTGATCCACACCTTTGCTTATAATGAGGAATCTGCCTCTTTCATGTTGACGATGGCCTATAGTTCATTTTTACCTTGTTTACTCATGAAAATCATTTTGGCTTCCCAAATGGGTTTTGACATATTCTTAGGGATTAATTCAAACACCATATCTGCTGCCATTTCTCCTAATTTATAATCTTCATTTTCCAAAGCACTTTTAAATAATAATTATGCTAACAGCAAAACTAAATCAGGTTCACTCTTTTCCTTACATTCTTTCAAGTAATTCAAGCAAGAATAGACTGGTTTAATGAGATGTTTTCTATTTTAAGCACTCTCTTCTAATCGAGCACATAAATTCCATACTTATTTTGATGCATCCAAAACTAAACTATTAATACCAGCTTTTAGTCCTTTATTTGCAGCTTCAATTGCATGAAATAAACTAGAAAATAACAAGGATTCTTAAGATTCAGTTTCTTATGTTTCTGAATTAAGCATTCTTAATAGATTTTCACTATATATGTATTCAGCCAAAGAATACCATCTCAAACGAGAAGCTGGAATAGTTGATAAGTCTGCTGTTAGTAATTGTAAAGAATATTATACACACCTTAATGAATACTTATACATTAAAATAGTCTCTTCATTCAATGCTAACCTTGCCAATCTAGCCCATAATTCAGCATGCAATTCCAGTTCAGTTTCATCGTTTTCTTTTGCTGTCCAACTAACAAGTGTTTCAAAGCATTTCTTAATCAGATCTTATGTTTGAGCCTTATTGGTTGAATTTTGAATGATTTCTAATTATGAAACAACATCAAAAATAACACTATCGGACGATGATTATTATGGTTGTTTAGTGCCCTTTTTATCCTATTAAGTTCCAGGTTTAGCAGCATTAGTTTTAGCTGTTCCAGACACTCTGGCCTTAATTGAGTTAATCAATTTACGAGTGTGGGGTGAAAGAGGAGTTAAAAGTAGAGCTTCACAAACCCTCATAACCTCCTCATATTAAGACTTCCCTTCCATCAATCTTGCATACACTAAACCTATATTAGCTAAGACTTAAATCTTTGTATCAATGTCATAATCATTTATTAGTTTTTTTTCAATTTCTTTTAGTGAATTCTTCATTATTTCAAAGAATTCTTTCAATAAATTAGTAATTTCTGGTAATAATTTACTATCATTAATAGGATTACGAAATATTGTAAGGAAATTATTCCAAATATAAATAGCTCCATTGAACACTAGCCAAGTTTATTTGATAGAATCTGCTAATTTTAATCCTTTGACAAAATTTGAACACATTTTTCGTTTTAAAGATAATACTTAATCCTTTTTCTCTTGACTTAATTCTTCTACGTTTTCATTCTCTTCTACTCTAATAGGATCAGCAAAGGGTATTTCAAAATTATCTTTAATTAAGTTATCTATAATCATTTATGCCATTCTATATTAGCATTCTACTTGAGCAAGTATCATTTCAGATGCATTCTTTACATCCCAAGTATCATTACAAACAAACTCGCATGCTTTAAATGCTAAATCATTAAACTCCCATTCAAATGCTAATCTAGCAATCTCAGCTGCTAACAATTTCTTCTATTTGAATTAATATAAATTCTCTTATTTCTTTAATACTTTTTCTCTATTTTATTCCTCTTCAACCAAGTCCAACTTAGTATCATACCAATATTCCTATTCTTACAAATTAACAATGGTTCCCAAACACTTTTATAGAATATCAATTCTTAAATTTTCTGATTTGGCTGCTTACACATTTTCTAATTAAGTGATAACTCTTTCAATATCATTTTTAGGTTCCTAATAAATATTTAATTTTAGTCTGATCTTCTCTTCTAGATTCCTTAAATACTTATCATAAGGTCTTTAATATAAGCCTAAATCTTCGCCCTCATCATATTTGAATTGCACCTTCCCTAATGGTACACTGTAATCCAATTGCAATGCTTTTTTAATGTGTTATTCTGCTTTCACTGCTAAATCCTCTTATAAATCACTCTTTGCTAATTCAATGTGGAAATTCACTCTCAATGCATGATCTACACATTGCAATTACTCCAATAGTTGACATGCCATAGAAAAGGCTTTATATACATGTATTCTATATTGAGCATTTAAAAATGGCAATGAAATATTCCAAATCAAGACAGCTCCTTCAAAGATGAGATCGGGATCATTTAACTTTTTATTTGTTACCATAACTTTCTCCATAGTTTTCAAAGCTTCAATTCTCCTTTCCACTTCTTGCATTTTAATCTATAAGGAATTCAATCTCATTCCAGTCTTATTATCAATCAAAGGGCCTGCTTTCTTTATAAATAATTCAGCCTTATTATACTCATGTAAAATGTAGGCCTTTTAGTGTAGTTATCGAACTCTACTCAAAAATGCAGTGATTGAATCAGCTATATTTACTAAATTATATTGTAATGCTACTCTTCCTGATTCAGCCAATCTTTCCTAGAATACCGGTGCCAACTTATTAGTGGCTGCCACTTCATTTCCAGGCAACACAGCACTTGAAATGGAGTTGATTAAATTTATTAATTCCTTCTCAACTTAAGCCTCTGGAATCAAACCACTCCTCATCTTCTAGAGCATAAACAATGATTTCCAAGCCTTCTCTGATGGAGCAGCCTCTGATTCCTTGAATGCTGAATCCAAGGCTTACTTATATTCCTTACCAATGTGAATTCTCAATCTCAATAGTGAATTCTGAAAATCGCAATCTCCCTTCTTTTTAGTTGTTTCCCACAGTCTGTCCAATAGTTTAAATGAATCTGCCTTCCTGTCATCATACAAACAATAGAACAAGAGCCAAGTGAATCTGCATCTCCAATCATAGTCAGCCTCATCTACTTCCTCAAACATTCGATCTATTTTATCCAAAATATCCACAAATGATAATTGCCATTATGGCTTAAGCATGGGTCTTATGATATTATATACACAAATGGAAGCATTATAAATAAGAAACCCGTACTTTTGTTTATTTTCCGGTTTCGAAATTATGTCTAATCCTTATTAAACAAATGTTAATGACAATTTCAAATTCTTGATCATGTCCTCCGCCTTCAGTAGTCTGTCGTGGCCATTCATAGATATAAGTCTTGCTTTTATGAACAAGGCTCTAATGTAAAACTGTCCCTAAGAAGAGTTACGTTAAAAGTAAAGGTCTATATATTATTGAACCAAGTGGGCTTTATCTGGCACAACAAGGCAAGCCTCGCAATACTTAATCATGACTTCTTAAGAAATATCTAGAAAAGAGGATCTGTTTAATTTACATATTTCGAATACCTAATATTTTTCTTTAGTATTTAGTTGATCTTATCTATGCAATCTTATCCCTGACTTAGAAATGTTTCATTATCGTCCTTGTGATCAATAAAGAAACGAGCTTCTGTAATTAAGTTATCAATAATGTACTCTTCATTACTCATTTTTATTAAATATTAATGTTTGTATATATATAATAAATCAAGAATAGAGGTTCCTTTTTACTTCTCTCATTTTGATGATATCTTACACATTTATTTGTGGTTTAGGAAGAGAAGGATCCTTTTGTTTTTTCATTGAGGAAGTCTACGATTTACTAGAATATGTATATATTGGATACTTGGAAAAAGTATAAAAGTTATTTAACTAACGAGGTTATTCATCTTCATCATAATTTTAGGAATTATTTAAAGACTTTTTGGATTAATTAGTATGCAGAGGAGATTCTTTTCTTGAATGAACAATATTCTAAATGTTTGAAAAAGCATGACTTGATTGCTGTTGTTCACCTTGGAGAATCTTTTAGAGACTAATTAAATCTTTTGCTACACTCTACAATTTTAATCCGTCATTAGGTTAGGACAAAGCATCAATAATATTATCGACAGAAGCTACCATAATGAAAAAAATAGATACATTTCACATAATCCATTAAGCTGGAATTTTCATGATTCAATAACAGATTATTTAATCTTTAAATCTCCTAATCCTACTCCTAATTAATTAGAGTTAATTATTCAATCTGAGATTCATAATCCTATAAATTCTCCTTTGTTATATTGTAGGTCTCTTATCCATCCTGAGTAACACAATCTTTAATTTTATTTTACCTAATCGATTAAATCTATTGAGCATTAGGCAAGTTGCCTCCCATTTGATTGACATAATCTTCTAATTATTAGACTCGTTATATTTTCTAATCTAGCATGCTTTCTGTTTCCCTATGGATTCTATCGTAAGCATCAAGTTCATCTTATAGTTAAACAATGGTCTCATCTCTTTCATTCAACCTGGTTGTCAAAGCAATCATAATATCTCTTTATTTTAGAGTTAATTGTTTGTATCTATCAACTTGAACCTTGTCTTCTTCTAATTAGGATCTTTCCTTTTCTAATTCTGTTATCTTCTTTTCATATTAGGCTCTAATTAACTTTTGTTATTCTTCGATGGCATTTCTAAATTATGGACTATTCTCAATATTGCATCCACCAATTAACATTTAACTATTGATTTATCGAATCTTTTCTTCTAACTTCTTCTTCTCCTCTCTTTCAATGAAAAACTGTTTGCTCCTTGCTTCAAGTGCAGCCATAGCAGCATTCTTATCTTACTCTGCTCTCTTCTTATCCTCCTCTAATTGACTTAATTTTGTAGAATCTATAATAGTTTTATTCTTTTCTTAAAGCTCTTTTCTTAGCCTTTGTAACTCGCATTCATATTTCCTTAAGAGTGCCTTTTGATCCACATCCTCATTGATAGTGGCTTTATTTTTAATATTTTTAGCTCTATTGGCAAACTTGACTGAACTCAAAGTTTCAAGAAAAGCATCAATAGCTGGTGATATCATTCCCATCATAGTTGTTTTGCAATTACCACCCAAAGAATCTTCCAAAAGACGTGTAATTTTGGAATCTCTATAAGGAATGTGAGTTTTTTATTCGATCAAAGCAGAGATAACATTACCTAAGCAACTTAATGACTAATTGATTTTCTTGGATTCTTCTAATCTCCTGCCTGTAGCACCAGTGACTCTAACTCTTTCACTTCCAGCCAAATCTACTAAGTTTAGTTTTCCAACTTTAATGGATTTGTGATTGTCAATTTCTGTCATTTATTCCACTATTATGATAAAAACTGCATGGGATCGACTACTTACATCATTCATCTTTGTACTTGCAGTGGCTCTAGATTAGGCTCCTTTTTGGATTAAGGAATAGATTTCTGAAGGATTTCGAACAGCCCATTCGGAGAGACCTTCAACAAAGACTCCTCTCTTTTTATCTTCTCGGATAAGCAAATTTTATCTATCACTCCTAAGTAAATCGCTTATGACTTCATTGTATATTTAGAGATAACTCACTCTGACCATGAATGTGGTAGATTCATTGGATCCATTTGAAATGTGCTTAAAGATTTCCTCGATTGCTCTTGGAATTATACCTCTTTAGGGATCTACACAATTGTATTTGAAGCCCTCCATTGTAAATGTCTTGCCTGTGCCAGTCTACCCATATGCCATGATGGTGGCGTTAAAACCTTGAAGTGCAGAAAGCACTGCATGTCTTGCTGTATTATCGTATACTTCCTCTTGTGTGTTATCTTGATCGTAAACGTAATCAAATGAGAAGGTGTGCATTGTATAACTATTTGGGTTGTTGAGGTATTCCTCAAGATGTTCGGGATCCACCAAGTCGATGTTATAATATTCGTAGAGGCAGATTTTTTTATGATCAGGGGACACTTGAATGGTGGAAATGAAACGTCCATCTATCACTTCTCTCTATAGAGGAGGTCTTACACGAACCACAACTTTAAAATTGTCATTTGAAGTTAATTGCTTTGCTGAATATGATGACATTGGACTTGAATCATAAAAGTTGGTTTGAGAAGTCGTTTAACTTAATGATGAGGTGGACATCTTTGGAAAAGAGGTATTCATGATCGTTAAAATTTAAAATATATTAATTAATAAAAATACATAAAAATGAATTTCTTTCATCCACTTTTGCAAACCCTTCAGTGTAAGAATCGCTATTCTATTTGTTTAGTCATGCGTTTCAATCTTAGTGCAGACAGACAATAAACCACTCTGAATCTCCTTAATCCACCTATCAAAGTCGAGGAGAATGACTAGCACCTCCCTCCCATCTATCAAATGACGTAATAGGAACTACTATAACGACAGATGGTCGACTCGGCAACTCATGGGCTATAAATGTCGACTCTTCCCAAAGACTTGGACCCACCAAAAACAATCAATAAGAAAATGTATGTTGTTTAAATATCCCTCAGAAGCAAAAAAGCCAATACTTGTGGCCATCCAGACAAGGAACATTATGCCAAGGGAATGTGCAACAATTGCTATCATCGATTGGGCAGAAACAAACAACCTTGGCTATGCTCACACAAAAAACTATATGCATGTAAATTGTCATCTCTATCTTCAAGGTGGACTCTGTTAGAATTGCTACATCAACCAATATAATAAAAAAAGAAGAGTCGAAAATCAAGATCAATTAGAGTCAGAACTTAACAACTAGTCTGGCATACCCAAAACAGACAATTGATTCTTCATTTTTATATAATTTGTAATTTTTTTCATATCTTTTTCATTTCATTTCCTCTTCTTAATCAATAAATAATATTCTTATATTAATTAAAGAATATTATTATTAAGACTTATAAAAATATCAATAATTATAGACTTTCCTGAATTTATTAATTATTACTCCTCTTCTTATTCTGTTGATTTACATAAATTAGCACTCATTTTTTTAGAAACAAAAATGTTCCTAAAATCTTTATTATTTACTTGAACATTGTTTCTAAATGTTAAATTATATTTTTTCATTAAAATTATCATTCTCTTTATTTACGATTGATTACCATTTTAGATTACAAGGGATGTAGACTTAATATATTGATATATTGTGTGATAAGAGTTGAAATAAACTTTTATTGTTTTAACGAATATAAATATTTAAAATAAAAAGATCAAAACTTTATGTCGAACAAAAAGAGCATTAAATAAAAGGAAAACATTTCCATTGATAGTAGATTGAACATTTTGGAATGTAGTATCCTTAATTAATTTAAGCCAATCTAAATCGAGTTTGCATGCAACAAGATGCTTTGATGCCCATCGTCAATGAGATTCCTCATGTTTAAAAGTTGGAATAATAAATTAAAACACTCCTAAAAAAACAAGAAGAATTAGAAAGGATCAGGGATAAGTCAAGAGAAACTTCAACCAACACCAGTTTCAGTGATTTCAAAACTAATAACCAAAATAAGCCATTCGAAAAACAGTTGAATGATTTAACATTGAAAATGAACTACCTGGACAACCAATTGCAGGAATTGCAGAAAAAGAGTCAAGGGAGAGTCGAATAGCAATTCAAAATGTTCTCGGACACCCAAGACATTTAGAGATTAGAATAATTTATTACTGAAGAATTAAATAATTTTAGAAGTGAGGTTCAATTGGAATACAAAAATATATACAAAGTAATTTTATCAATTAAGTTCAGGAACTAAATGGTTTGAGATGTGATCTAGAATATATCATGAACAATACCAAGAAGAATAAGGTCACTCAAAAGATCTAGTCCATGAATGTCAGTCCAGATGATAAACTCTTCGTCATTAATCTATTGGAATAGGAGACCATCATTGAGGAATTGGATCATTACGAGAATGAGAATACTTTCAGACTATTATATGAATTGGATTATTTCGAGTAGTAAAGGGAATCCATATCGAATTTGGAACCACAATAAACTCAAAGAGAAAGCCTCTATTTGGAAGAAAAATTAATCTCTCTAAAGTATTAATTGGCTGCTTCCAAAAGAAAGTATTTGTTTGAGATTAAGAAAATTGAGCATAAGTTTTAAGTCATTAACGAAATTATTGAATAGAATTAGAAATATCTCAACTATTAATAACAAATTAACATTTTAACTTAGAGAATGAGTAAGATAGTAACAAGAGTCCATTAAAATATAGAATGTATATTCTAAAAGATTAGTTCCTTAGATAAGAGATGATAATAGTTAATATATAATAGAATATCAAATTTCCAAGTTCATTTATTAAATTCAATTTTAGCCATTAATTTCTTAACTAAGTTTTAGTGATCATTATTAATTTTTGATTCAAATATATGTTGGATTTTTCAGATTAATCATATACTCTAATTAAGGATTAAATCTATTTTTTATATTCATCATATATATATATATGAATATTATTAAAAAAAGACTTAACAAATGTTTTCAGAGGAGCTTTCATTATGCACTCCTAATAATTCATAATAATTCATTTAATATTAAATCATTTCAGGAATCATTATCATTATCATCATTATCCTTGTTCTCTTCTTATTGAACTGGTACTTCTTCCTTAGGAGGTTCTGGCTTTCTTACAATCGTCATATCACCTACATTCCTTAACTAATAAATTAAATTGATATTTAAATTACTCTAATTAATTATTTCTCTCTGAGGAATGAATTGCCTCTAGCTTTCAACTCAAATCCCCAAGTGCAACTGTTAACCAACCTTTAAGCAACATTAGTAAGATGGTTTATCAATTACGATTCCACAGTTTCAAAGGAATCACTCATATCCAATATTACTGGTTCGATAATCGTGGAGTTGAATTAGGATTTAGTGTAATCAGAAGGTTCTTCAAGTGGTCTCGATGATGGTAGAGCAGAATCAGTAGCATTAGGCTCTGTAGGCATTTTTTTTGATTACGGTATTTTTGATTTGGTGATTACTAAAAATTATATTAAAATGATTACTCATTTATAATTCTTGATTGGTTAATATGGCATCTTTTTCTTTCTCCTTGTCCTAAATGGTTTAAATAATATCTCTATCTCTTTCAAGAGTGAACTCGTGCATCTCAATAAGAAATTGTGAAAGCTTCTCATAAAAGGGTTCAATTTCCTAAGTAAGCATACCTTTAGTGGCAGCTTAAGTATTTTCAATGTACCATCCACCAAATTATTTAAAACGCTTCATCAATGTGAAGCAACTCATGAACACAGTTTAAGGAGATTCAGCCAATTCTGGATCATCAATTTATTTAACAAGTTCTTCTAGCTTAAATGCCTTATTTACATTGGTTTGAGCAAATGGAATACAATATTGTGCATCATACAAACCAAATCTAGCATTTTGCACCCATTCTAAAGCCTTAATATTATTTTATAAATTAGGCAATAGCAATCCAAAAACTATTGCAATTATATCAGAATCTATTTCTTGTAATCTTAATATCAAAGCCTCATCATCAGTTTATTTGATTGGTAATCTAAATTGTTTCCATTTAAATACTTTTCCATAATTTTTGGATTCCTGATTAACAATTTCATATGTTCCATCCTTTCTTAGAACATATGCTACTATCTATAATCGTTTATCGCTTGTTAAGTAATACTAATCATGTGCCATTGAAAAAGCGAATCTAGTAAAATTGTTAATGGATGTTCCAAAGTATCCCTCTTACAAATCAGGATATTCAGTTCTTTTTTAATTTGCAAAGTCCTCCTCGTTTATTTCATTACTCTCTGCCTTCTACTCTAATTCAGCAACTCTCTAATCATAAGTCTTTTTCCATTCTTCAAATGACCCATCTAAGTATTTAGGCAAAGTCATAGCGATTACACTCTAAAGAGGAACTAAATCCTGATAAAAGACACGGATGGCTCTTTGATTTGAGTAATTAATCATTCTTAAAGCCTATCTATTCTTCTTCTTTTGTATTTATTGATCGTACGGTTTTCTCACTTTGGGAATTTGTTCAAAATTAGAAACATTAAATGCAGTTTTCATAGTATTATTAAGATCAACAAGTTTGATTACTTCCTCTTGAGTTTTCCCAACTAAATAATCCATGAATTTGGTTTGCAATTGATTCATAAATTCATTTGGATAAAACCCACTTGTAATTACCTATTACATTATCTATCCTTATAATGGTTTTAAGTATGCTTAGGCAATAGCATGAGCTTATGCTTTAAAAATGACTTTTTGTATTCTTTCTTATTTCTGAGAGTATCTTTTCAACACTTCAGACTTCTGGTCAATCAATTATTTCTCTCTCTCCACTGTCACCTACTATTTATTTTTCTCATTAACTCTTCTATTCTCAAAGGCCTCTTTAAATCTAGCCATAGCCATAAACTCTTCTTCCTATTCTATTTCTAAACTTGCTTATTCTAAAGTCTTTGTGCATATCACATTCAAAATAGGAGTTACTTCTCTATCAAAATCAAATAGCTCATAATCTTCTACTTAAGTTGCAGCATCAATTCCTGTTTTTTTTGGAATGAAGGGAGGGTCTTCAGGTTTCTTTTGCAATTTATCAGTTTAAGTGGATAAAGTACTCTTTTATTACTCACACTGAGCTAGAGTGTCTGTTAGGAAGAATTCTAAATTCACCTATATTCTTGGATTGGCTGTTGCTTTGATATCATATGTGTCTAGAATGAATTATATTTGAATACCTTCTTTTTTTAGTTTCCTCTTGAAATTATTCAATTAAGCTGACATATTTTCTACTTTTATACGCTCCTTCTCTAAACGTATATATTCTTACTCCTATTCCATTGGAGTGCGTTGCTTAATTTTCTATGATTTTAATACATACATACGTGATCCTTCATTAAATTTTGAAAAGTCTGCATTGGTTTTGATATTTGATTTTACTCGTTTATTCTATACTTTCCTCTGCTTGGCACTACTCTTGGTTCAGCTGAAAAGTTCTATTGTGTTGGTTATATCTGCTAACTTAACAAATTAATTAATTGAGACAATCCATCCCCATTTTAAGCCGAAATTGGCAAGATTGGCACCTCTCCAACACCCAAAAAGTTTCTTAATTCTCCTTCCTCAATAGTTTGAATGTCTGCTTTTGTTTGCAAGATAATTAATTATTCCTTGCCATTAATTTACTCTAATGCTGCTTTGTTATGATGCAACTGTTGCATGTTGCTTCCATCCAAACAGAAGATCATCACATCTGAATTTGGCATATCTTCATTGACTTCCAATGGCATATTGTTGATTTAGTGCTGGTCATTCAAAACTTTAGCCAATGTGGTTTTTCCACTACCCTCCAGACCTACTAATGAAATTTTATAAGACATTAATTAATAAATATTTTTCAAAAAAATCATTATTACTCTAATTTCTCTTGTCCTTTCTCCAAAGACTCCTAATCAAAGTTCTAATCGATTCAGGTTTTCTTAATATATTCAGTCAATTTAGTATATGATGCATTTTATTAAATTGTTATTCGACACTAAATTTAATTATCATGATTCTAAATATGACTCAAAATTAATTAGGCACTGTTTCGATAGATGTTGTCGTGAGATTAGTATTCAATGATTTGTAGAAATATTCAGTTTTGGAGATTGATCTCATTCAGCAAAGAAATTCTGAATGAAGAATTCAACAACTGTAAATTCCTTCTTTTATAATATTTTTGAATTTCCTTCAATTATTCAAAGTATGCCAAGTAACTTTCAATCAAAATAGTATTAAACATATTATTTGGCAATATCAACTAAATTTTAAATTAGTTTTTTGTGTATTTTTTATTTTGAAACTCTTATAAAATTTTACATACTATTATATTGTAAAATATTATAGAGCCTCTGTTTTTTTGATATGTTGTGTATTAGATTAGAACTATTGTTATCATCTATAATTTCTTCTTTTTGTATTATATTTAAATTAGATTTACCATATGCCGTTATTAGCCAATATAGGTAAGTATTTCATCAATTTATTATTAATCTTCTTAATCATTATAGTATGATTTGAATCTTGTTTGATTCGTTTGAAAAGTTTGTTGCAATCTATAATTGATTGTTAAAAAATGTAGTATTTCAATCGCTGAATAATCTAAGCTTAAAAACTGATATACTTTAGTTTCTATCTTTTATTGTATTACATTGTAAGAAGCTATTCTTACAATAAAATATAATCATTCAAATTTCTTAATTTAATTTAATACAATGTTTATTTTTATTTCTAATTATTATTGTTATTAGCTTTTGAAAATTAGTAATCCTGAAGTGTAATAGAATAAAATTATTCAATAATTTGAAGACTATTGAGAAAGATAATCTAATAATCCTATTCATTATGCTTTCATTATAAATAATTGTAAAAATATTCAGTCAAGCCTTGCAGAGTATTAAGTAAACTCAGTGATGTTTGTTGGTAGGAATGATTCTACTTAGTATTTGATTTTTCATTTAAATGGCTCTTTATAGCAATCATTTATTAAATATTAAAATAAAATAACTATGAATTAGCTAATGAATTAAGATAATCAAAGGCAAATTAACAATGATCAACCAAATACTTATACTGTCAATATTAGCGTAAATACACCTTAATCAACTTTCACTATATCAGTAGCTATCGACCCAAACATTCATTTTAATTAATTTATAGAAGGAATCAAAGAATAAATATTTGCTCAAAAAATGTAAGCACAATATGAAGATACTATTGAATATCAAATGGGGAATGGATCACTTCTTTTGTCAAACGAAACGAGAACCTTATAGAACTTGGGGTTTACTAATAATTGCTTATTACATGTTAGACTTAAGCTCAAAGGAGGAAGATGAATAGCATAAATAATTATAATAATGTATTTCTATTAACTCATCTTATTTTAAATTGTTACTCAAAATATATTAATCACTAGCTGAAAACATATAAAACAGTCTCATTTAAAGAGTTATACTACTAAAAGGGTGTGTTACGATTGATAGAATATAAAATTTCAATCCAATTTTCCCTTAGGTTCATTTATCATTTTCCATCAATGAGATAAGATTTCTTATTTTATACAGAATAAATAGAGATAACAAATAAAATGGTAAAATTTGGACATTAAATAGATAGTTGAAAAGAAAAACAATAAATCTCATCTATATTTATTTCAAATTTCTTCTCTTAAAATATTTTAGTTTTTAATACATTATATATTTTACTAAAAACTTGTTTATGGTATGATTGAATTACTAATTCATGAATATAAGGATTATCTTTCTATATTTTCTTTTCCTAATATTAATGGAGAGTTTAAGCAAAATCCCCAAATTTTTACATATATTCCATGAAAATGGAACATTCAATCAAGTCATACACTTCCTAAAGGCTTAATGAATTAAAATAATATTCTATTATAAAATAAATATGGCAGCAACTTTTTCACAATTGACTATAAATACAACCAAAATATTATTAATACAATTATGGTAGCGTAGTAATAAATTAATGATATGTATTATTTTGTTAAATAAGTTATTAAAATTATTGTTTTGATTATGGGTGGAGCATTCGGGAAAAGGAAAGTGCAAGTATTAGTAGTTGGTTTAGATAATTCAGGAAAGACAAGTATCATTAATGCTCTGAAAAATGAAAAAAATGCAACTGTTGCACCCACAGTGGGTTTCAATAAGGATTCTGTAGAGAAATTTAATCTGAATTTTTAATTCTCTGATATGAGTGGACAAAATTAGTATAGAGGGATGTGGGAATAGTATGCAACAAAAGTATAGTATTGATATAAATAGATTGATGGTTTAATATTTGTGATTGATTCATCTGACAAAATCAGATTTGGTATAGCTCTTGATGAATTTAAATTATTATTGGAGACTCCCGGCTTCGATAAAGACCTACCAATACTGGTGTATGCCAATAAATAGGATTCGCCAGAAGCATAATCCCCATAATTTTTTATTGATTATTTGGAATTGAAATCGTATAAAAATCCATCTCAATGTTTTGGAGGAAGTGCTAAAACTGGGGTAGGTTTAGATTAAGGTCTCTAATGGTTAAGTGCGAAGATTCAGCAAGTGAAACCTAAATGAAATGCTTGTTATTGAAATTTCGGATTAATATATTTACAATACTAATTATCTTCTCTGTTCTATTGATAACTGAAGCTATTAATGGTTCATTATTATAAACGACAATGCAATAAATTAAAAGTTGTCGTTATAAATTTAAATAAAAATGATAGACAGTGAAACATTTTTTGCAAAATATTTGCTATCCCCGCGAATCTAACAAACCGAATCAGATTAAAGACTCACAGCTCTTAATGCTGTTTAAACTAGATTTTCTCCAGATAGAAAGATAAAATCCTCTTTTCTGTAGGATGAAATTTCATTTGCACCTAAAAATTCATAATTACTCAGTCAAACTATTAGATCGCTGCTTAAAAACAGCTGGGACTTAGTTGAAGCTATTAAAGAAAAAAACTTAATCGATCCCCATTTGCAATACCATTTAAGGAAATTCAAAAATGATCATGAAAGTGTAAGTGATCTTATTAACAGGAAGACTTTTGATAATATGGAACATCTCAATATATATAAGGATTAGATTAATTAATTATAAACTGAGATTGTTAACTTAAATGAAAAATGTAAACATAGAAAAGTATGTTTATAAAAGCTGAATGACATTTTAAATCGAAAAGAAGAAGAACTTTTACATTTGACTCACTCCTTAAATGATTTTTAATTAGAAAATTAGGCATTATAAAACTAATAGGAAGAATTAAATTGTTAAAATATTCAATTGATTGAAGAATTGTAAAATGTTATAAGTACCTCATAATAAACCATAAGCCAACTTAATTTAAAAATAAGAGAAGGAGAAAATAAATTTATATAATTAAAATCTGGCAAAGAACAAGAAAATCATACATAGCTAAATTAAACTAGTAAATAAGTTGAAGAAATTGATTCAATTAGGTTAAAACTGAAAAAACAGGAGTCTTAAATAGGGTTGTTAACAGAACAAAATTAAGAAAAACATTTTGAAATCGAATCTCTTAATTAATCAGTATTGTAATGTAAAGAATAAATCAAATAAAATGAATTTGAAATAAGAAGATTCAAAGATTTATGTGCATCTTAAGAAGACAAACTAAATTAACAGTGTAATCAAGAAACCTCGACTTTGTTACTATTTACATAAAGAGAAAACGAACTTACTTAAGAGTTTAATAATATATAAAAAGAACTTTAGCAATAAATAGCATAGTATCAAAAAGATCAAGTTGAACTAAAAGGAAAAATTACTTCACTTATTTAGAAGGAACTTCATTTAAATTAATAAATCAAACAACTTGAGGATAGTTAAGATATTCAAGAAAAAGTAAGTAATATATAAAAATAAGAAAAGGAATTGGAAAGTCTCAAATCACTATCTTAAAAATAAAACTCTTAATTGGAGATCTATTAAGAATAAAATTACCAACTAAAGTAAGATAAAGAACTTTTGAGTACTGAATTAATAACTTTAAAAGATTAGATAAGACTTTATGAAGCAGAGATCAAAAGACTAACTGATTTACAAGTATCTTAAGAGGATTAATTAAAAGCCTATTCCAACTAGACAAGTTTTAGATCAAATGAATAAGAATAATAATAAAATTCAAAATAAATAGAGTAGAAATCTATATAATAAAAAGATTATTAGGATTTATAGGCTAAGCTATCCTAAATTATGCAAAAAGAAATTTTATCACATCAGAAGATTAAGATTCTTGAGGATTAAGTAAGTGAACTAGAAGAATTAAATAAGAATTTGCTTGAAACAAATTCAAAATAGAAAAAATAATTGAGTAATTTAAATTAATAGTGCTAATAACATGATATTTAGTTCGAATTATAATTCAAGGAAAGATAAACTTTAGAAGAACTTATAGCATAAAATAAGTAAAAACTAATATTTCTCGAAGAAAAACTAAATTAATCTATTTTTACCATCTAATAATATGAGCAATAAATTTAGAATTAACAATTACAATTATCTATTCTGAATCAAACTCAATAAGAGTTGTAATTCTATTAATAATAGTTCCAAGCTTTAAGCACGAATTTTGATGAATCAAAGTTATAAATAGAGAGAGTATTGAAATAAAAAGAAGATCTTGTTGTTTAACTTGAAAATACAATAAATACAAACAGTTAATTATAAACATCAAATAAAACTCTTGAATAAAAATACAAATTGATTGAAAATAATCATTCTAGCTTAACATAAGAGAACAAAAGACTTTAAAATTGGTTGAATGATTCTATTATTATCAGTAAATAAAAAGAACTTGAAAACTAAGAATTGCAAAAATTAAATGAAACATGTCATAAATAAATAACCTAATTATAACATTAATATACATAATTAGAATAATCATATCATTAAATAGAATCAGATAAACAAGCAATTAATTTACAATAAAATGAAAATTCTAATATATTAGAATAATCAATCTTAGAAAATGAAAGCAAATTGACAAAGTTATAGAAATACAACTAAGATTTAAAAGAAGAAATTAATTAATTAAAAACAAATTAAAATGAAAAGGAGCACTTATATGCTTAAACTGTTAAATAATTTTATCAAAAAAATTAAGGTATAATTTATAATTTATACTTTAGAACAAAATACAAAAATAAGTGAAGTTAATAAATAAGTAAAGGAGAAAAATGAAAAAATTTATATGAATGAATCTTGCTAATGGACGATGCTTAATTAATAACTCTATTTTTTAAATTTGAATGGTCAATATATTTTAATAATTTATATAAAACATTACAAATTTGTGAAATCGGATTAATTAAATTTATCTATTCCTTTT